TGTTTATATTTTATTACAGTCCTAATAACAATAAATCATATTATATCAACAGACGTTGCTGGTCATTATGCCGATTAAACCATTATTATAAATAAGAATACGTTGTGCATATAAATTAACCTTAATAATAATACATAATAATCTAACCTATCTTTTATGTCAATTGCTAATCAAATAGATTTGATTAAGGTTTAGGTCACTTACTGAATGCTAGGTACTATAGTAATTGTTTTTGGGAGATTTAGTGATATAAGGAGAAAAATTAGCAGCGAGTCCTGTGATTAAGATATATTAAAATTTATCCGCATGTCGTCTTAAAATATAGTTACAATTAAAACGTATTATTGTAACTATATATTAGATATATACTATATTTTTCAACTTTACTTCAAAATTACATCTATTTAGGTACACAAGAAAGTTATTCTCTGCTTATAATAAAAGTTTTCATATTCGTTAGTGTGTTAAATCGCGCGGATTTTTATTTAATTATTGCACGTGGACATCGTTATACATAAACATTCCGTTACAGACAGCATTGAATTCATTTTCCATTTCATCATTACAAAAGGGACAAACACTTTTATTTTTATCATTAGGCGTTCAAATTCACCCATACCAATTCTAAGTGGCATAGTATATTACATTGGCTTCAATGCAATTGAGCTATATATTATGTAATCCGTGCAGTCCCTTACTGAGTTTCAGTGTATTTAATCGATCCGAATAATTATTTTCAAATGTGTGCATCGGCCGGAACAATGAATTCCATCGTAGCTTGCATGTTGATTCATCTACCAAATTCAATTCAATACTTGCAAACAAAAAAAGATCCGTTAGATATTCTTTTCAAACTCATTAATATAGATAACCTAATATAAACTCTATATACTGCATATATAAAATGGTATTTTTATATATTGTTCAGTCTTTGAGCATAAAAGTATATAATTTGAATCAGGAAAGAAAGTCAAAATAATCAGACAAGCCACACAAACACGAACATTTAGTAATTTAATTTAATTGCAAACGTTTCGGCTATATGCCTTCACCAGTGCAAAACATAATAAAATTACCGGAAGTGCATAATAACGGAACACGCGTTAAACGCGCGAAAAACGTTATGGCGTTTAGCGGCAAAACTATGATAACATGTAGAAACAAATATTTATGCTATAAATAAAGCTGGTACATGAATTAAAATGGATCAACAGTGATACAGATGTCTATTAGACAGTGTTAATAAAAATAAGATGAATAGACCAAACATATTAATATTCATGTAACCTATTATAAATTAAAACAATACTTTATTATTATCCATTTGGAATCATAGTATTTAATATATGGATCCAAAAAGATTCTTTACATAACCGGGTCCATGTTTGTCTATAATTTCTATAGGTAAAAAATGAAAAATCTGACAATGAACACTTATTATCGTTTGATCCGAAATGGATCGCAACATGTGAAACTGGATTAACGTCACAATTTCTTTATATCAAATCTATTGTTTATTCATTCTGCATGATACATTTTGATTAGTCTGACCTACGTATTGCTTTTTACAGCCTTTACATGTAATGAGGTAAATTTACATTACATTTTTTTTTTTTTTTTTTTTTTTTTTTTTTGAAAGAAAGTCAAGGTTATTCACAAACTTCGTATTAGAAATATATAAGGTTATTTATACTCAACATTAGGATATGAAAATAATAGATGTACGTGAATTTACTGGGCAGAAATTTACTTATCCTTTGATGTTTTCAGCCAACAAAAAATTATATCTTAAATCATACTGATTCAAGTCATTCTACATACAATTCTTGTTCAGTTTTGTGCTTTAAATGCTAATTATTGATAAGAAATACTTTTATTTTTCAAAACCGTTCGTTTTGTTGGTGTCTTGTTATAAATTCCGAAAAGTTACTCATTGACCGTTTTATTACCTGAACCATATTTTGAATCTGTTGACGTTGGCAATAAGCACATATACAGTGCTGTAGAATTTTGTATGGGAGTAAAATACTCCTTTTTTATTTGGATACTTTTATGATAAATAAATGTCCCTTTCTGAGTTTCTTTGCTCAATCGAAAAACATTAAACATGCACTCAACCCATTTCTAAATGTTATAAAAGTATTTTTTCCTTAATCTTTCAAAAGAAGGTAAGAATATTCGTTTCGCCTGTAAGAAAAAAATTTCAATTCTGTTATTAATGTTGTTACAAAATTAAGTGTCTCTTGTGTGAGCGCAGTAGTTTATTTTCCTATATTGTATAGCCGAATAAAGACTATTTACCTTAGTATAAAATAGGTATATTTTCCTTCAAAAAGCTATATTTTTTCCTCAAATGTCCTCTGCACATTCTTCACAAGAACCTTATGACTTTACAGAACTTGACCTGTATCACCTAGCTAGGTGATAAATCTAATTATCTTAAAGACAGAAAGCTGTCCATATAGATTATCATGAATGTTAAATTGAATCAAATGAGAGGATACATTCCATTCTCAGTTGTTGGAAATTGATTTCAGGATTTTCCCCTTTTCTGATTTATCGTGCTTTATTACATGCTTTTCGGTGGTTTATAGAAATATATCAGTGATATAAAACTGGTAATTTCACTGTTTGAAACAGTGAACACCAAAAGTTCTGCGCCACTCGTGAAATATACCTTTTGTGCTCACTCGGTGAAATATATTCCGATCTTACACTGGACTAAACAAATATCCTCTATATTTCCCCTTCAGAAAGCCAAATGTTGATTTGAAAGTGGAAGCGTTACATCTTAAGTTACAGTGCAGCTTCTGCAGAACACCGCTCTGTATAGCAGAAACCTCTTCATAGCGACAGGGTCAATTCTTCATAAAGTACCCAAGAGCATCACATCCGGTAACAACTTAAATCGCTTTGCATGGGTTGTATTATACATATTACTGTATTTATCATATGATTTATTAAAATACTTGTTCCAACATGCATTTATCTTAAACTAAAGCAAACATTTGTGCATGACCAAACAAATCTGGAGAAATTAGTTTATCTATTATTAATTAAATTTCAACACTAAATATAATACAGAAACACGCTTACTTTGCATCATTTATCAAAACTTTTAGCAGGTGAGTTAAATAATTTAGTATAAATTAGACTTTTATGTGTTAGTCTGCATTAACTATTTTCAAGGTTGTTCATTTATAAGTCACCAATTACACCTGATGATGTATTTGGTAGATAAACCCACCCATGACTCATGTACAACATGTTACATCATGTACACTATTAAACATGAAGTAAATTTACAGAATTAAGCGACTTTTTGTAAGAGGTTGTGGTTGTTGTTTGAACGGGATCGTTCTGGACCGAAATATACATGTACCCTTGCAATACACTCTTTTAAAACATCCAATGACAAACAACACGTACGAAAAACTCGTATCTTAAAATAAACCAAACCATTGAAAAGATGTTTATTTGTTATCCTACAATGATAAATATATCGCCTATCTAATATTGCCTAAATATGGTATGCATTCTATAAAATGCGTAATTACATATAAGCCATACCTTACATCCCACCACCACTTTCAAACGGGCTTGAAATAAAATTGATAAATGAATATGATAAATAAATTATATGTTAGATAAGTTTTTAAACAGTGTCATCCAACAACAAAAAACACACAATAGAATACATGTCATCGAAAACAACTTATAACCATTGTTGTTTTTTCATTTACCAAAATTATACTCCTGTTTTATCTTAAAATGATCTTTAAAAGTTATTTAAACTGTAAAGAAATTTGACTGCACTCTACGTAAATCTGATAATAGGATCGTTTGTATGCATATCTATTTAAGAGATATTTATTAAAGCGGACGATAACGCAATACTACCCCCAAGTATAATATAAAACAAGGGTTTTCCCCATTGGAATTCCGACAACTTTGATAGTTTATATACCTTTTTCCTCTCTTTAACCACAAATAGAAGAAAATGTTTGCACTTAAAACAACTATTTGTTTTTGCTTTTTTTTGTTTGGGGTTTTCGGGGACATCGGATCGGATAGATATTTTTAAAAAACGGAAAAATTAGTGAAATAAGACCGTTTTAGGGTTTTAATTTTAAAAAATTTTTCGAGGTAAATTTATTGAATTTTGTTAATTACTTTTTAAAGTAAAATGAATTATAAAAGTATGTGTCAATTTCCCGGTAATAAAAAAAAATTAAATATTTTTTTTTTTTTATTCAGTTGTGTTGTGGGGGGGGGGGGGGGTTACCTCAGGTGTCCTCTGTACATTTTTTCAGGCCAAAAAAGGCACGGGGTAAACCACCCAAAGTTCCGTAAGTAGTTGGGCAGGAGTTTAAAAAAAATTTCCTTGTACTTTATTAAATTCTTTTCCTCACTATTTTTATAAAAAGCCTTTTAAAATCGTTTTTTGTTTTGTTTTGTTTGTTTTTTTTTTAACAGGAACTGTATATATATATTTAAAATACATGTATATACACTGGTTCATACTAGTTTACAATGATATAAACACGTACTGGTATTTTGCCAAGGACGTTCCGGATGACTTGTTAACAATACAATGATTCGGATTATATCTGAGTTATAACAGGTGAGGTGGCTTTGACCCATGTTTTTGTGTTGCTTTAAAGAAGCCAAAACCATCCTATTTTGGCGCTTTATGAACTAAATTGTGTTAGTGCGCCATAAAACGAAAGAAAACATAAAATAGGTACAGTCAGCTAGGTGTATATGCGTATAAGGAAAACTAAACAAGGGGAAATATGGCGATTACGCATTTGTTTTATATTACGAAAGATTTGTATAATACCATCAGATGGCATGCTGGATTCACCAGAACAAAATAGTTAGGAATGAAACACTTTCCGACATCTCCATAAATGTTGATTGCAGGTTATTTAAACTCACTCCTTCATAAGATTTAATTATAGATGACTTCTCAACTTATCATTTCATTTAACATTTAGATAACACCTACCGTCTACAGTTTTAAGTATACCGGTTCCCTTACCGGCTCGACAATTGAGCTGGTTTTGTCACAGGTGAAGCGTCTATGTGGTGATAAGGTATGTATCATCCAGTTTTGTGTCTTTAATCATTTAAGTGCTTCGATTTAAACCAGTGATACCAAATGGTTTATGCTGAATGCATAGCGAATGTAAATACAACACATATCGCTTTCAGTGTTGTTATATTTTTCTGGTTCTTCGGCAAGACAATATGAGTCCACAATTTTCATATATTATATTTTTTTGCTTCTGAATGCTTCCGATGGATCACCCCTATTCAAATGTCTATTTATTATCGGTGCACAATCAATCGCCTACAATTGGATATAATTTTAAAGATATAAGTATGTTTTCCCCCATATTATTTGCTTTTAAAAAGTGCATGTTGATGTTACCAAATTCCATTTTATTTTCAGATAATTGAAATTGAACCGGTTCGCGCATATACAAAATATATTCCAATTGATGCAAAAAATATAACAGCCTTTGGTCAAGGACATCGTTTTCTATATTTACAAACTGGCCAAATGGTAAGATATAGTTTCAGGATCTATGTTAGCACATTTCCTTTCTAAATGCTATTTTAGCAGCCAAATGTCAAGCCACACTGATGCAAATTACAATGAATACTTAACGCATTCGCAGTCTTTCCATATGAGAAATATTTATGATTACAAACTTTAAATTAAAATTTAAATAAGATTTCATTTAAAGTTGATTTGAAAAATACAAACTCTTATAAGCATTGCGATTGGATTTAGACTGTTACATGAATTCCCTGCTCGACAAATAAACATTTGAAAAACATTACTTATCATATGTTTTTCAATTAATCACAGGACGTAATTATATTATTTGCTTTTTATATGTCTTTTCGCTCCTACCTCCTTTCCTTTCCCCTCACTAAATGGCTGAATGTTGTAAAACGCTGACTTCCAAACGCTTACTATACATCGTCATTGATTCGAGTTCAGTTTGGAACATTAATTATAATTCTCTCATGTGAAGAAGTCTAGCTGACTATAAGAAATAACAACAGCATCAAATCAAATCATCAAATTATCGCCATAAGAGGTTTTTGAATAGTTCTTATTGTTTTGACAATGTTGAAATTTTGCATTTCGTTCAGCCAGGGCAACATTATGTTAGCACAAAGGCAATATAGTAAAAAACTAAATCTATTAAGTTGAAACATCTATTGTTGTGTTTGGTGATTTACACTAAAAATAATAATTTCTCAAGTGATAGTATCTCAATTTCAGTACGATGAAAGTGCTAACTATTTCGGGATGCATGTTAAAGGTGCCTGGGACAAAGGATACAATGGTAGTGGTGTTACGATTGCTGTTATTGATATAGGGATAATTGCGGACATCAATGACATCCGAAAAAATCTGGTAGAAAAACATCTTGTAATAATTTATGAGCCGTTCTTAAATGACTATCAACCACGTATTAAAATGTTATGCAAATATAAGTAAAAAGCAGAATAAACTTATTACAGCTGCGATAGAGTATTAAACTATTCTGTGTGGCCTTAATCATTATTTTTATCATTTTAAAACACATTGGTAAGGGAAAACGTAGAAATACGAGGGTTTTTCGGGAAGTTTCTGGGATTTTTGTCATATCTCCTATATTTTTTGTTTCTAAGACGTAATATTTTGCACATACTAAGATAAGCATATCACGGAACTATTCTAAAAATTGAATAGAATCAGACAACAATAGCAGTAACTATAGCAACACTATAACGCCGCACCGGAGCAGTCCGACTCTAAGGAAAGGTATAACGCGCTACACTAATATATTTCGTAATTTTGATAACGTAAAAAATGCGCGAAAACGCTGGTCAGCAGCGGAACGTCATGACGTCATTTCCTGAAAATATCATAACGTTATTTAAATTCTCAACGAATCAACATTGTTTTAAAGTTGTTGCCAAGAGCCACTGAGTAAACAACATGACGTCGATAGGTGACGTTGAATTGCGAAGCGTCGTGAAATTTTGTTTTGCGCTGGAAAAGTCTTCCACAGAAACAATGAAAATGATCAATTCTACAGGAAAATACATGAAATGCAGTCCGGCTACAGTGTATAGATGGCATGCTCGTTTTAAAGAAGGAAGAAACTCGATCGAAGACAATCCTAGATGCGGTCGGCAGTCTGTTGTTGCATGTTCAATTAAGGACTCGGTAAAAGACATGATAAATTGCGACAGAAGAACGACAGTTAGAGCTATTGCAGATGAACTTTGCGTATCAGTTTCTACTGTACACGGAATACTTACAAAAAAGCTCGGTATGTATAAAGTGAGTGCACGTTGGGTACAACGGTTACTAAAGGACTATGAAAAGGATTGTCGGGTGCGATGCTCTCAGGCATTTCTATCACGCTATGACGCCGAAGGTGATGAGTTCTTAGACAGAATAATAACAACTGACGAAACTTGGCTCCACCACTTTGACCCAGAGACTAAGGCTATGTCATCGGTATGGAAAACAACGCGTACACCTCCCCCAAAGAAAGCCCGGGTGCAGAAAAATGCGGGAAAAAACATGTTTATTTTCTTCATAGACCGGCACGGGATGATTCTGCAACGGTCAAACTGTCACGGCGGCTTACTATTCAAAGGTAACTAAAAGTATACATTTCTAATTATAATATATTTTAAAACATATTTATTGATAAACATATATATTTTATTATCATAAAATGATTTATGGCCGAGGTGGTTAATATAAATTTGGCGAAAGCACCTTGCTCTTTGTGTTATAGTAATTACGGTTTAGGGTATTTACAATGCAGCCGTCCTCTTTATTGTATAGTATTTACAGCTTAGAATTAACAGCGTAACGCATGTCTATATTTGGATATAGTTGCACATGCATACTCACTCATTTCGTTGAACAAAGAAACAAAGCGCGTGGCTTTCATTCCTGTACAACTTTTGATAGTTTCACATGAAAATTTAGTTTTCTTGGTATTTACGTAAAAGAATTACGAGCAGATAATAAAAAAGTACTTTGTACATCTAAATCTTACTTCAAGCAAGGATTATTTTGGTGCCATCCAATTTTAGGAAGGATTTACGAGGCGAAGTTTTGTTTTCCTTTGTGTCGATCTGGGTCAGTGACGATCAACAACAGAATATTAAAGTGACGCATTTATCCTAAATGCTGTTCGGACTTCTTGGATTTACAGTTTAACTCGTGAACGATAAACAATTGCCTCTGGAAGGTCAAATTTCTGACAAATTAGCAAAATATTGACAGATTGCGATTGCCACGGCACGGATTTTAACAAAGGACGCCATCATCAGATCATTACTCCATTCCTCCGCTGGTGGGCACCATCGAACAGGACGTTTTATTACTCCATACTTGAGTACAGTTAGTCTGTTTTAGACAGTTGAGTATTATTTTCTGTTCAGCTTTATTTTATAATTTCTGACTTGTTTTAAGTTTGTAAAACAAGTGTAACATAGACAAAGACCATTAGTGAATGGCGTTTACAATTGGACCAGGCCAAATTGACATATTTTACATTCTATATCATATCAGAAGTACAACATCGAAATAATTTTGTTTTAAGAAAATCTGATGGTATTTTGCGATAGTTCAAAATTTCGAAACATTTAAATGTGAAATAGCCGAAGGTTTGCAACCTGGGCCTCAATTTTAACTTATACAACGTTAATAACACTAGATTCTACCACCATTTTGGTTAATATGTGTAATCCAAGAAAGCAATTTTAACTTACGAATTTCACATAGACATGTTTTTATTGGCAAAATTGCCCTGTTGTTACTACTGATTTTAACTAATTAGAAGTATTATTAAATTATTGGCTAACATGTTATCCAGGCTTGCTCCTGAGACTCCGATTTATTATTTCCCAGGCATTAGCACTTGTGGCATTATGTTTCTTATCCGGGCTAGTACCCGAGACTATTCTTGAAATAGTACTGTAGATTTTGATACTTGCCTGTCTGTAGTAACTAACGTTACAAGATATTGTACCTGGGAACTTCCGAGAATAAGTCTCGAGATAATTAATTAGCGTTATAAATTACTTGTACCTATGTACTTCCGAGAATTAGTCTCGAGATAATTAAGTTGCTTTATAAAATACTTGTACCTAGGAATTTCCGAGAATAATTCTCAAGGTAATTAAGTTGCTTTATAAAATGCTTGTACCTAGGAACTTCCGAGAATAAGTCTCGAGATAATTAAGTCACTTTATAAATTACTTGTACCTATGTACTTCCGAGAATAAGTCTCGAGATAATTAAGTTGCTTTACAAAATACTTGTACCTAGGAACTTCCGAGAATAATTCTCGAGATATTTGTTTGAGCTGTCAGTATCTAACAATTTTGTCATTTAGGTACATATGTCCAGACTATTTACTCAAAAATATATATTGCATTGTTAATAATTTAATCTGAATTAGCTACATTATAACTATATATTAACAATGTACAGGAATTTATACTGCCTAGGAAATTTTGTGACCATTGATAAAAAATTACAATTAGTTGCCATTTAAATCACATAAGTTCCGGGCTTGTACCCGAGACTATTCACTTGAATAGTTAAATCTTATTGTTCTTGTTGTGGTGATAATTGAATATCAAAAACTTATTATATGAGACACATATATGTACAGGTTTTAATTACTTCCGGGAATCAATATCTCGAGATTCCAGTGTTTTCTCCCCTTTTATTATTTAAGTACATATATTCCGGGCTGGTACCCGAGATTATCAATTGACGTGCAGTCCCGCATTTGATAGGAAGAACTGATCACTTCAGATATACGTATATTTATGAATATTTTGATACTATTCGAAGGTGATTTTATATCTTCAAGTAGTTTAGTATAGAGTGGTTCCCAAGTTATGGCAATCATAGCACACGGCGCTCGGTTTTTAAGAATAAGAAATGCTTTTCCCTTCAAACAGAAAATAGTCGGAACATATCTAGTTCCAGTTTGAGACAGTTCTGTAATTTCATAGGTAAACAGCATTAAGCTCATACATTCATACATCTTTACTACATTTTCAGCTATGCGTGGGAAACGAAGGGCAGCTGCCACAAAATCAAGATGTTCAGCTTCATGCTGCACGGATAGTGATAAACCAGTAGAAACTTCTGGGGCGGGTACCAGTGTTCAGGACAAGACCAGGCACACTAATGACAAAAACATTACAAATGACACTGTGTCAGTTAACTCTTCAAATCTTGAACCAAATTCAGTAAACATGGATTCAGAGTCAGATTCAGATTCTAATGCTGAAGAAAATAGTAATTCGAACATTATAACTACGACAAGACGGGGGCGTACACCTAGGGGGCAAAAGAGGAACACCAAGAAGAAAAGAAAGAGGTCTCCTCCCCCAACTAGAGATTCAAGCGATGACATGGATTCATCAACCTCCGCAAGCTCATCAGAGAGTGACAATGATCTGTTAGATGATGTGTTAAAATCTAATGTCCTTGATCTAACAGGTAATGAAGGACAGTCCTTTTCCCCGTTAGATTCCCCTATTTCTTCCCAAATTTCCAAACGAATCCAAAAACGAATATGGAAGAATAAATTTGTAGATTTTGGTTCGTTGTTGCCGGTATCTTGGGGCCATGACCAAGATACATCCACTATGCATTTATCTTTTGACCATCACGGTAAACTAAATCTTGTCCCCTCGGTCAAAAAACAAAAGATCTACAATATAGATCAGTGGACCACAGCCTTTATGAGGTTTGTGGCCATTTATGCTCTAAAATTCCCTCTAGAGACGCCTGCCCTCATGAAATATGGGGAATTAGTTCGAGACTTAGCTGCTAAAAACAATAGCAGCGCGTGGTCTCGATACGATTACCAATTTAGGTCTCTGAGAGAGCAATCTCCGATTCCTTGGGATCGGATGCATACGGAATTTTGGGTAAGGGCAACAACTACCACAGTCATGCAGCCCTTTCGTCAAAATCGCCGCCCCTATGGTTACAGCTCAAATGGGTTTCGCGTCCAAAGCAAAAGCAAACCCATGTCTAAAGGGGAATTCTTGCCAAATACCTGCTGGCCGTTTAATAGAAGAGGGTTCTGCAATTCAATCAAATGCTTCCCTCATATCTGCGGCTACTGTCGCGGCCAACATTCAGCAAAATCCTGCCCAAATGGTCAGAAGCAAGACATTTCTGCCCGACCAAACCAGCAATCTCAACCCGGCCCAGTTGCCCCTAATAGATCCCAAAAGTCAAAATGACTTTCTGAAGGTCAAACCTGTCACACCAATTAAACTTGGCCCACTGTCTTTTTGGATACAAGGTTACAAATTTGCTGATTATTTACTGTCTGGCTTTGAAAAGGGTTTCCATTTAGGTTTTACAGGTAATAGATGTTCTTTTACAACAAAAAATTTGAAGTCTTGCTCCCAGTTACCTGACATAGTTTCGGAAAAGTTACAAAAAGAAATATCCTTACACAGGATTGCTGGACCTTTTAACAAACCACCTTTTCCTTCTTTTAGGGTTAGTCCAATAGGAGTGGTACCGAAGAAAGAACCAAATACTTATAGGTTAATTCACCATTTGAGCTACCCACATGGTGATTCGGTTAATGACTTCATTGACCAAGATTTAGCGACTGTCCAGTATTCAACTTTCGACCAGGCAGTGGCTATGGTTAGAGAGTTGGGTCCGGGGTGTTTAATGGCAAAAACAGATATAGACTCGGCATATCGTATCATCCCTATTCACCCATCCGACTACTCCCTCCTCGGTTTTAAATTTCAAGGCATGTTTTACTATGATCGCTCACTACCTATGGGGGCCAGCTCGTCTTGTGCTATTTTTGATCGTTTTAGCTCAGGCTTAAAATGGATAGCTCAAGAGAAACTTTCCATCAGTCACATTTTGCACATACTTGATGATTTTTTGATAATGGGCCCTGCGGATACCGGCAAATGTGAATCAGATTTAAGGGTTTTTCTAGATTTATGTAAACTGATAGGAGTACCAATAAAACACGAGAAAACCGTATCTGCCACAAATTGTATCATTTTTATGGGTTTAGAAATAGACTCTGTTCAATTGGAGGCAAGGTTACCTGAAGACAAGCTTAATAAAATTCGTGATCTTCTAGCCTTTTTTAAATCAAGACGAAAAATCAAATTACGCGAATTACAGTCCCTCATAGGTCTTCTCAACTTTTGCTGCAAAGTAGTATTACCTGGTCGAGCCTTTTTAAGAAGACTCATTGATTTAACTAGGAATGTGGTCAAACCCTTTCATAGAATTACTTTATCGAGAGAGGCACGCCGTGACCTAGCAGCTTGGCACCTTTTCATTGATAATTTTAATGGTAAACATATCTTTCTGGACCAGAAGTGGCTAACAAATGAGGCAATCCATCTTTATACAGATGCTTCTGGTGCGTTAGGATATGGGGCGATCTTGGCTACCCATTGGTTCTACGGGTCTTGGCCCGCACAGATTACTGATACTAATATAACTTATAAAGAACTTTTTCCAATCACATTATCTCTAGAAATCTGGGGTGATTATTTAACAAACAAATGCATTATTTTACATTCTGACAATCAAGCTGTTGTTCATATCATTAACAAACAGTCCAGCAAGGACTCAAAAATAATGGGTTTAGTAAGACGTTTAGTCATTGCTTGTATGAAACACAACATCCTTGTACGTTCTGAACATGTTCCCGGCAAGGAAAACAATTTAGCAGATATGCTTTCTCGTTTTCAGATAGAAGACTTTCGTCAAAATGCTCCTTGGGCAGACACTCTAGCAACTCACGTGCCAAAGGCGTTACTCGATTACCTTTAGGGCATTTGATCAGTTCCTTAGTAGAAGGCTCTTTAGCTAGTAGCACAAGATTGGCATATCGTGCAGCTTTTAAACATTACCGCTCATTCCATGTTGGATTTTATAAGACTGAACCTAAAAAGAAAATATCTAATAGCAAATTAGCATCATATGTGGCCTTTTGTCATGCCACTGGCATGAAATATTCAAGTATTTGTTCCAGGGTATCGGCTCTCAATTACATCAATAAGTTACAAGGTGCCAAGACCTCAGGCCATAGTTTTCTGTTAAAAAGAGTCCTGCTTGGATGTAAGCATTATTCACCTTTGGCTGACAAAAGACAACCTATTACAAAACCTATATTGAAAAGGTTGATTTCGGTTTTACCTACAATGTTTGAATCAAATTACAACGTCATATTAATCAGTGCAATGTTTACGTTGGCATTTTTTGCACTTTTAAGAGTAGGCGAAATGTCTATTTCAAAAACTGCTAACCATACTATCTCCCTCGATGATATAACTATTAAGTTAAAAGAAGAAAAACCGTTCCTCATCAGTTTGTCTCTAAGGCATTACAAACACTCAGTTTCCCCATTTAATTTAATTTTAAAACTTCAGAAAAACAAACTGATATGCCCAGTCAGGGCATTGCACGCCTTTGCCGGATTACGAGCTAAGAAACCTGGTCCATTTTTTCTTAATGAATCGGGTACTCCAGTCACAACAAAACAATTTAGTTGCATTCTTAGGAAATGTATTAGCAAAATAGGTTTAGATTCAAAACTGTTTACATCTCACAGTTTCCGTATTGGTGGTGCTACTCTAGCTCACAGAAAAAATTTCTCTGACTCTCGAATAAGAAAACTTGGTAGATGGCGCTCAAATGCATTCCAAGCATATTTACGTCCATTCTCGGCTCAATTTTAAGACAAATATATGGACTGTCCTTCACTATTTGTTTACATAGTTAAGTCCCCCAATTACTAGGTCATTGACTGACTAAGGCGGCAATGACACCTTGACTGTTGCAAGGCAGCAAGGAAGTTTGTGCAATTATCTAAACAAATAATTGTTTTATTTTACATGTGCTTTGACTGCATGGGCAATTTGTATACTATTGTGTGATTGGAGTTCTTATGTATTATTATCTTATTTAAAGCTACCAGTTTTGGGTTCAGTACCTCGAGCATTTGGAAAAGTGTTTATAATATGGTTTCCGGAGTTTGCTTGTCTGGGCGGGCATAAAGACCTGATTCTGGGAATTAAGGCCTTTATGCTTATGGCGGAATTTGTTTCCCCAGATAAAACAATAAGTTCAACTTTTAATATGTCTCTGTTATTCTAGTCATGTTTAAATGTACTATAGTATACTTTGTTTACGGCTTAAATAAAAGCCCTTTTACAACACAAATTTATCTTGAGTTGTTTATTGTTTTACAAGCTACGCAAACTCCTGAATCTATGTAACCGAACCACCTGCCACCCATAAATATATTTTATTATCATAAAATGATTTATGGCCGAGGTGGTTAATATAAATTTGGCGGAAGCACCTTGCTCTTTGTGTTATAGTAATTACGGTTTAGGGTATTTACAATGCAGCCGTCCTCTTTATTGTATAGTATTTACAGCTTAGAATATTTACAGTAAGCTAACAGGGTAACGCATGTCTATATTTGGAGATAGTTGCACATGCGCACTCAGTCATTTCGTTGAACAAAGAAACAAAGCGCGTGGCTTTCATTCCTGTACAACTTTTGATAGCTTCACATGAAAATTTAGTTTTCCACCACCTCCCTTTCCTCCTCCACAATTATTTACTTTGAGAGCTCCTAAATTTTTGCATCCTTCGTTTAAATTTTTTCATTTTTATTTTTAAAATTGTACAAGTTACGGTTCTTTAACAACGAGATACACATAAAGACACAATTATACACATTTGTATGTATTCAGATGTTTTCATATTTCAGGATGGAATTTGTTCTTATTTCTGTTTGTTTAAATTTATTTCTGTTATGAGAATTATGTTTTAATGTTTGTTGTCTGGCGGAATTTGTTTCCCCAGATAAAACAATAAGTTCAACTTTTAATATGTCTCTGTTATTCTAGTCATGTTTAAATGTACTATAGTATACTTTGTTTACGGCTTAAATAAAAGCCCTTTTACAACACAAATTTATCTTGAGTTGTTTATTGTTTTACAAGCTACGCAAACTCCTGAATCTATGTAACCGAACCACCTGCCACCCATAAATAATATTGTAAACATAATATTTATAAAAAATAAACATTTAAAATATGAAATTTTTGAGTAAGATAAGTGCAAATCAAATTTTTAACCGCATGCGTTTTTAACAGGTTCTGAGGCGGGATCTCGTTTACGCGATACGGAAGAAGCGCCCCCACATGGACCATGACCGCATCATACTTCATCAAGACAATGCACCGGCCCACAGAGCGGAATCTACCCAGTTAGAGATCAGCCTCTTGGGGTTTGAGATCTTAGAGCACCATCCATACAGCCCGGACCTCGCTTCGATGGACTTCCGTGTGTTCCCGGAACTCAAATCACAGCTGCGTGGAAAACGCTTTGACTCAGCTGACCATTTTGTTAAGCATACGCAAGATATAGTCTCGTCCTTTACCGATAGCTGGTACGTAGAAACATACAATAAGTGGATCAGTCGACACAGGAAATGCATCGAAATTGCAGGTGACTACGTTGAAAAGGTGCGACGATCGATGGACTTTAACGTCGCATAACGTTGCAAATGACGTCGGCGTGCTCCGGGTGTTTGTTATATGGTTATTTACTATTTTTATTATGTTTTAGTTTCTGTGTGTATGATGATGATATTTCCAGATTGTGTACAGTATATATTGAAATAAACGCGTATATATTTATATTTACGCTAACCCGACTACAACGTGTGCTATAAAACAATTCTCAGAACTTCCCGAACAACCCTCGTACATGAACGTTTTGGTTACTTAAATTTTGATATTATTTTGTGCAATATATTTTTTTTTATAGAATATGGATTTGGCCTATAACTTCATTGATAAAACAACGAATGTGACTCCTGGGGAAATTTCTATGAATTACAGAGCTGAATCAATGCGTTTGCTGAGGTATGTTCAACAAGATATGTTTTCTTTAAATGACAACTCATGAAATGGTTTCCTTAACCGAATAAATCACTGCGTAATTGAAACATACGAAATTGTCTTTACTTTACGTCCTATGTCCGGAATATTTATTCTAATTTCGGATTTGGGAATTTTATGTATGCCCTTAAAAGAGTTAAGTACAAAGTGGTGATAATTATCTCAATGCAATTTCCATGGAGAATTAGCCAAGATATGAATTTGAGCCAAAAGTAAGTTACTGTACGGCCTAAATATAGGTAACCCGGGGTAGCTTTGAAAAAGGCTGTTTGCGTCGACAAAAAGCCCGCCGTTCAATCCGTCTAACCGTGGGCTCACGCACCCTAGCACACCATCCTCGTCAACTAAGGGCCTACTTTGTAGGACAAATCCCCTCGGCTTTAGTCATGGCACCGGCAGCTAACTTCATGCAAGCTAAGTCGTGCCACCTTAAACATAACCCTGAGCTATAGAAAACATGCGGACACGTAGCATTGGTTCTTCAATCATCTGCCGATGCCCTCTGTTTTCTCAACGACCTACACGTACCGAAGGGAATAGAGAAGGATTGGGGAATTATTTTCTTTTATTATAAAAATAGGACGAAATTTCAGTGACTCGTGAAGAAAATAGAGTTTTCAGATTTAACACATCTGCGGATGCTTCTAAATTCAAATTTCATATTTTACTTAAGCAAAACCTTAGGGGCGTAAACTGAGTTGACTTACCGTAAATGAAAATGTTCATTCAAACTAAGCCTTTGACATATTCAACTGTTCTTTAGGGATTCCGTTCTCCAATATTTATTCGTGATGTTGGGAGTGTCTATTTTAATATCTTTTGTCCTGGTATCAGAATCATTCATTCCATTTAGTCCTCTTTTTACATTTATTTCATATTTGAAAAGCATATTAATACAATGATTCACATTTACATACAACATTTGTGGCTAAATATAAAAACATATCTGTTTCAATTTAATCCACATTCATTTACCACATATTCACTATCCCAAACAAAAAGAAAACATCGCATACTAAAAAGAAGAAGAAAAAAAAAAACAGACAAAACAACAACAACTGTTTTTCCACTTAAACGAATAAGAAAAAAGTAGATAACAAAGAAACCGAATTAAACAAACTTACCAAAAAAAATATACAAAGACAAACACATGCATTCGCACTCAACCAAACACATACAAACAAGCAAAAAAGGTAAAGACGAGTGAACCGTTTAAGCTTAGGAAGAGAATGCATAATATATTTCCGGCATCGTACATAACCATTATAAATATTTTCTAAAGAGGTAATGTGCGTTATGGGCTTTGAATCTTTATTTTTGCTTTCTAAAATTTTCTCTATATTTAAGGATGGTTATATTTTTTGATCTGTTTTTCTGATTTCAGTCATGGGATTAAATGTACCAGCATAATAGTCGCACAGAAAGGAAACGGATTGTGTAATGCTGGGATTGCTTTTGAAGGAAAAGCAGTTCGTAAGTTAAATATTGTTCGACTTTAAAATACTAATTTTTTATGTCATTAGATAACATTTAAGTAACCGTTTGTTTTTTATTTAAGAATTTTAATATGAATAACAATATTAAAAGAGACTGTATTTATTAACTACTTAATCTAACGCAAAACGTGTATTGATTATTCTCCTTACCACATTTTCTGCCCAGCTTTTCAATCCATTTACAGAGCCACCTAAGCCCCTGCTTTATTTGTCTCGTCTTCAAGAGTGGCTCTTTAACTGAATATTGTAGTTCTTTGAACACGACTCTTTCTAGGTGAATTTTATGTCGTACATTTCCTTTCTTTTCAGCGTTGAAAGTATTTTGGTTGTTGCATGAGTATGATGTTTTCAAAGTACACACAACAGACGATATCATTGCCGCTGCGCTAACTCACGGTCTTGAAGACATTGACATCTACTCAAACAGCTGGTCATCGCCGCCGACAAAATTCAGTCCACTTGGTTTAGGAATGAGAGAAGCCATTTTATACGGAGTAAACAATGTAAGTAGATTAACTTTAATTTTATAACTTTTAATTTTGCCTCTTCTCGACCTTCTAGTCCCGTTCCCCAACACATTTTACGTTTGTATGCCTATTCTTGAATCGTCTCTTAAATTTCCTTAACGGTTTCTTTCACTTTCTATTATGTATTATTTAAGTAAACACCACGCCGTCTGTGCCGTGTCCTGTTTTTGTTTATGGTCCTGCTGGGCTCCATGTCGGTGGTCCTGTGTTGCTGGGTCGTGTGGGGGTTTCGTTCATTGAACGCTGCCCTTCCTTGATGATCTTGTTTTCATATTTTTAAAAAAACTTAAAATGATTTTAGACAGTGAAGTGCCGTGAAGGAATAAACAAATCTGGAAATGGGCATGTCACTCGAGACAAATGCAAACACAACCAAAAAAGTGAAAATTGACGACTCTGTTTGAAAATGCTCATGTAATGTGATGAAAAATAAATCTTCACTACTAACATTATTGGAATGAGAAATCGTTAAGGACGAGAAAAGATGACGATATCAAAATTTAAAATATACACTTGCACTCATTTGCTTCATCTATTACAAATGTTGCTAAGAAGAATAAAAAAGAAGAATATTGTACATTTCAAACGGTAACTGCCAAATTTGGTAATGATTAAACAGTTTGAACACTTGTGAATTACAGGGAAGGAAGAACCTTGGATCAATATTTGTTTTTCCGGATGGGTCGGACGGAATAACAGGAAACGGGGCTGCAAACAGTATACACACCATTGCAGTAAACAATGTGGGTGTTGGAGGAAGATTGCTAAAGAATCATGAAGTTAGTGCATGTGTGATAACATCAGGACTCGGTAATGGGAACAGACTTCATACACATTTTATGGTAATTCACATGTTTAATTTCATATCCTTTGTATTTTGGTTTATACAGAATTTATTTAAGTTCGATTGTGTAGAAAGCTATAAGCTTATATACACACTTTCGAATCCGTTCCTGTAACCAACCAGTACTATGCAATAAGTGTAAAGTTTCTTGCTCAAGGAACCAACGATTTGTCCCTGACTGGGTTTGAACCCATGCGGCTAGGGATCATTAGATTACTCGTCCGACACGTTAACCACTCGGCCATGCCGCCCGCCACATTTGTATTTTCGTAATGAACTAAGTTTTAATACTTACTTTTCTTTAGCATAGTGTATACGGTTAGTTGTTTACATTCTGATTGTACATATAATAGAGAAATCCTGTCTTGTCAAATATTTAAAGTCTTCAATATCTTTATCAGGTATCCAATGTATGTCTTTTTTTAGATGACATCATCATACAACAATGCATGTGTTGAATCATTCAAGGGTGTTTCCGCGGCTGTTGCAGAAGTTTCTGCTATTATAGCTCTAGTCCTACAAGCAAGGTATGTTCATTTATACAGAAAGTTTGCACAAATATTTGCAAATGTCCGTTTGTGTCACTTCTGTGTCACATGGAACGTTCCGTGATAACCGCCGTATGAACACACCTGCAGATGTCTCTAAATTCAAAATTTCACCATTTCCGTGTTAAATTTTGAATTCTGCTTAAGCCGGTGCTAGGGGACGTGAACGGTAACTTGCACTTCCAGTACTGTCCATGAACAGGCTCAATCAAACCGAGCCTGCAACATTTTTAATTTTGTTGTGTTTGAATTTCTTTAGGGAGTCTGTTTTACTCTATTTTTTTGTGTGCAGTTTGCAGATAGGCACTGAAAATCTGAAATTATGTCAGCGTTGGTGGTGATATTATAGAATAAGTTTAAAATCAACATTCTCCTTTGTCGTATACATGTTTTGTAGTTAAAGAAATAAATACCACTTACTTTTTTTCTTTTTTCTTAGTAAGTAATCATATATTTTGACCATTGTATTTCTAGAATCTGGTAATAGTATTCAAGGAACTTTCACGCTGCCTATATATTTTAGAAAAAAGGTAAATGATTTTTTTAAACAATTATACTGTTTAAGGCCAGATTTAACTTACCGGGATGTTCAACACGTACTAGCAGAAGCGTCAGAGAGGGAAGGACTGGCAGAAACAAGCGCTTTTTCAACAAATGCTGCTGGAAAGTATTGTAAGATATTTTGAACATTTTAGCTCACCAGAGCCGAAGGCTCAGGGTGAGCTATTAGTATCAAAGGGGAATTTGCTCATGTCATTTCAATTAGCCCCTTTTAGGGGTCTACAGAGCTAAAAAAAGAAAAACCTTTAAAAATCTTCTACTACAGGAGTAATTGATGGATGATCACCAAACTTTGTCTGTAGCATTCTTTGGTAGTCTTTTATCAAGTTTGCTCATATTAATCTGATTGGCCCCTTTTAGGGGACTCTAGGGCTAAAACTAGAAAAACCTCTAGACATCTTCTTCTACAGAACTAATTGATGGATGATCCCCAAACTTTGTCTGTAGCATTCTTGGGTAGTCTTTTATCAAGTTTGCTCATATCAATTTGATTGGCCCCTTTTAGGGGCCGAAATAGCTAAAAATACAAAAACCTTTAGACATCTTCTTCTACAGAACTAATTGATGGATGATCACCAAACTTTGTCTGTAGCATTCTTGGGTAGTCATTTATTAAGTTTGCTCATTTTAATTTCATTGGCCCCTTTTATTGGTCTCTAGAATTAAAAATAGAAAAACTTCAAGACATCTTCTTGGGTAGTCTTTTATCGAGTTTGCTCATATTAATTTTATTGGCCCCTTTTAGGGGTCGCTAAAGCTAAAAATAGAAAAAACCTTTAGACATCTTGTTCTACAGAACTAATTGATAAATGATCACTTAACTTTGTCTGTAGCATTCTTGGGTAGTCTTTTATCGAGTTTGCTCATTTTAATTTCATTGGCTCTTTTAGGGGTCAGCAGAGCTAAAATAGAAAAACATTTAGACATCTTCTTCTACAAAACTAATGGATGGGTGATCACCAAACTTTGTCTGTAGCATTCTTTGGTATTCTTTTATAAAGTTTGCTTATATTAATTTGATTGGCCCCTTTTAGTGGCCGCTTTAGCTAAAAATAGAAAAACCTTTAGACATATTCTTCTTAAGAACTTATTGGTGGATGATCACCAAACTTTGTATGTAGCATTCATGGGTAGTCTTTTATCAAGGTTGCTGATATTTATGTCAATGGCCCTTTGTAGGGGCCGCTGAAGCTAAAAATGGGAATACCTTTAAATGTCTTCTTCTTCAGCACTAATTGGTGCATAATCACCAAACTTTGTCTGCAGCAATCTTAGGTATTCTTTTATCAAGTGTGCTCATATTGATTTGATTGGCCCTTTGTAGGAGTCACTAGGGCTAAAAATAAAAGAAACCTTTAGACATCTTCATTTACAGAACTAATTGATGAATGATCACGAAACTTTGTCTGTAGCATTTTTAGGTAGTCTTTTATCAAGTTTGCTAACATTAATTTGATTGGCCCCTTTTGGGGTCGCTAGGGCTATAGATAGAAAAATCTTAAGACATCTTCTTCTACAGAAGTAATGGATGGATGATCACCAAACTTTGTCCGTAGCATTTTTGGGTAGTCTTTTATCAAAGTTGCTCATATGAATTTGATTGTCCCCTTTTAGGGACCGCTAAAGCTAAAAATAGAAATATCATAAAATGTCTATTTTTAGAGAACTATTTGATGGATGATCACCAAACTTTGTCTGTAGTATTCTTGGGTAGTCTTTTATCAAGTTTGCTCATTTTAATTTGATTGGCCCCTTTTAGGGGTCGCTAGGGCTAACAATAGAAAAACCTTTGAACATCACCTACTACTGAAATATTTGATGGATGATCACAAAACTTTGTCTGTAGCATTCTTAGGTAGTCTTTAATCAAGTTTGCTCATATTAATTTAATTGGCCCTGTTTAAGCTAAAGCTTGAATGCCCCAGGTCATGTCATTTCTTCAAATTATCGTTTAAAGATATTCTATGATCAAATTTGATATTAGAAAATATTGACAATAGATACATAGTCCCTTTATAAATATAAAATAAACGTGTTTTGACTTCACACAAAGTAGATATGTTATGTTTTAAACTCTTCACAATATAGGTGGTCACAGTATTAATATAATGATAGTCTCATTAAAAAACTTTTTTTATAGAAAATACCAATTTTACTTGGCCTATAATAGGATATGCATATTCACATACATAGTTTATTCATTCTTTTATCCAAATTAGACATTTTCAGTAAGAATTTCATAAATTTCAAGAAATTTCTATGACTCAAAGATTAGCATTATAAGGATATCTTTTCATAATGAAAGGATAACAACTCATGTTGGAATGTGTACATAATCATGTTATAGAGATTCAATGGCTTGGGTCATGACCTGTTTATGATGTGTAAATAGCTCTAGAATTCGGACATCATATTACATCATTTTAAGGTCAGTTATAGGTCATTGACCAGGAAAATAAATTAGGCCTAAAGACTTTACTAACAAAGATGAGTTTGTATGCTCAATTGTTTTATTGAATTTTGTTAAAAATTGTAAATTTTTCATTTTTTTGTTGAATTGGATTTAAACTTGGAGAAAGCACATTTCAATTAATTTTGGGACATACTGTTGAACCTGAGTTTCATGTGCATAATTTAATTTTTGACTTTAGTTGAGCTGTTTTTGATATTTTTGAAACCATTGCACATACTTTCTTGTTTTTGATGTACAGAGACTTGAAATTTGGAATGATGTACAAGGACTTGAAAGTTGGACAAGGAATGTAATTTCTGATGCGAATTGAATTAAGATAGCAACTAACTACTTTTGATATGATTATTTGATATTGTTTGACCTAGTTTGTCGTTTTTTGATGTACATGTACCTGCTAGAAATTTGGGCAAAGCGTTTAATTTCTGATCCTGAATTGAATTTTGATATAAACTTGCCTACATTTGATATATTTGAAATCGCTTTACCTACTTTTTTGTCTTTTATGTACAGACTTGAAATTTGGACCAAGAGTGTAATTTGTGTATTTTTTTATGTTTAATTCAATTTTGAAACCAGCTGACCTACTTTAGGTATTATTGACACCATTTGACCTACTTTCTTGTATTTTGACATTCATATTTTAAATGTGGACCAGGTTTGTAAATTCTGACGCCGAAATGAATTTTGATATCAACTGACCTACTTTTGATATTTTTGATATAAATTGACCTTCATTCTTGTGTTTTATGACAAACAGACTTGAAATTGGGACTAGGGGTATAATTTCTGATGCTTATTTGAATTTTGATATCAACTGGCCTATTTTCCATATTGTTTACAATGTTTGACCTGTTGTCTTTTTTTTTGAGGTACAGTTATGTTACCATACAGAATGTATAAAAACTTTGTTGTCCCAAACTTTAAACTTCAAACATCTACACCTTACATGTTTTGCATGTGACATTTTGTGTTTTCATACAAAAAAGTAATAAAAAAAATTGTCCAGTCATAATTAATCATGCTCTAGTGTCATTTATTCTACATAGTCTCATAGGAACACACTTGCAACATACACATATTTAAACAAAGCATTTCCAAAATATTAGGGCAAAATATTTCACTTTATATAGTGAATAATGAAATGATGGGTTAGATAAGTGATCTATGGCCATTTTACTGGCTCTATTGTTTATTATGAAGTAAAAAGGCTAAAACAATCAGTGTTATGAAAGCATATTACTAGAGGGGCAAGTTAAAGTTGAGCTGAACTTGCCGAAAGAGCTTGACTTGCCTTTCAACAAGTTCTTTTGAAAAAAAATTCCAACACTAAAAGCAGTTGAACCTGGTGAGCGACTCAGGGTCATCATGACCCTCTTGTTTTTCTTCTTATTTTTTCAAATAATTTTTCAATAGAAAACACTCAAACTAATAAGTTAAATGTTAATAAATTCGAATTTATTTCATAAATGTAGATATGGCTAAACTTATTTTTCATCTTATTTTACTTTATAATCTTTTGTAACTTGCATTTTACATTAAATAACAAAACTTAAGTTTAAGTGAACTTATGGCAACTTTAGAAGTATTTCTTGCTTGTCTTTATGCAATTTGACATTCTTTATTTTTTGTGCTACTTTAGTATCAGTTTCAATTATTTCTATTCAGAATCACATTTTGCAAACTTGGTTACAACTTGTTGAAAGTAATTTTGCACCGTTTCATACAATGTATGTAAAGTTGTTTTCATGTTTACTGAATACGTTTCATCAAAACAACCCTTTGCTTTAAAGTCGTTTTCATGATCACTGAACACATTTCATGAAAACAACCTTTTGCCTTTTTCCTCTTTGTAGTTAAAGTTACAATTTTTCCCATTTGTATTAGAGAGTAAGATAATTAACCTGAAATGTTAACTTTCTGGTCGAGTTGACTAGTATACCTATGTTATCTTAAATAAATATTGACCCAAACTTGGTTCCTTTCATTTTTACTATGAAGAAAAATACAATCAGTGTTGGGAAACCTTACAACTAGAGAGGCAAGTTAAAGTTGACCCTGGACTTGTCTTTCTACAAGTTTATTTGAAAAAGATATTTCTATAATCACTGAAAAACAGTTGTTTCTGGTGAGCGGTGCAGGGCCATTATGGCCCTCTTGTTTAAAATAATAATCAAAATATTTACATGTCTCCTATGTAACATTTAAAAGTCACATACAGTGTCTATGATCTATTTTATGTTTTGATGTCTTTCTTTGTTTCTGTTAAATATTTGTATGTTTTGCTCAAACATGATTTAAATATCATTTAGAAGTAAGCCATATGAGCAGCTCGGGTAAATTCTCTGGAATTTCTAGCGTGACTGAAACAAAGTAATGATATATATTCCTAACATAAGATAATAATCATAATTTCATAATTCTATATTCTAATGAAAAGTGATAACTTATAAAACTGATATAAATATTTTACATTTTGGTGCTATAATAATAAAGTCCATTATACGTATGTATAAAAGAATTTTACAATTCACGTAAATCAGCTGTTTATGCTGTTGTTTTTCATATTTTGTCATTTTTATATAGAATATTGACCCAATTTTGATAAAGGAGGTAAATATTGTAAAAATCGAGAATAATCTATTATCGAGTATTGGTTGGATGTTGACAGTGGTTGAAAGAGAATAATATATTGTGTGTTAAATGTCTTATAATTGAGCTGCGTCATGACAAAACCAACATAATGGGTTTGCGACCAGCATGGATCCAGACCAGCCTGCGCATCCGCGCAGTCTGATCAAGATCCATGCTGATCGCTTACAGACCTTTCAACAAGTAAAGAAACTGATAACGAACAGCATGGATCCTGGTCAGACTGCGCTGATGCGCAGGCTGGTCCGGATCCATGCTGGTCGCAAACGCACGATGTTGGATTTGTCACGACGCGGCTCATATACTTTACAGTCCATCCAGTCTTTGGCTTCGGATTGTTGAACGCAGACAAGGCGGTAACGATCGCGAAATCATGGCGTCACGTTGGGACGATGTTCAGTGATAGTTTAGACCACGTTAAAAAACATACATTTCAAAGTCACCACCGATACTCGTATGTATACAGTTTATAAAATATTTGAAATTAGTTGATGCTTTATCTTTAGATGTTTCATTTAAGCATTTGCATATATGTGCATATTATTCAAGGGACTACACGGAGGTTTTTGACAATACAGGGCTGGACATTTTTTTATCTAGATCAATGTATCATTTTAAGTAGGTCTTGACCAATAATTTGTGTGCAAAATTTCATATCATTAACTCACTCCGTTTTTCCAGAATGTCTATTCTAACTTCATATCATAAACTCACGCTTGTGTCTATTTTAACTGTGAAAAATGGGCCTGAATTGAAAAACGTTGCTATGCTTTTCACTTAAATCGAGCTATGAAAAACTCAAACATACGATTTTCAATTTATTTAATATATTTCCTGATTATCCGTTACATATCTTTCCAATTTAAATGTATCAGCTGATCTATTTAAGGAATTAAAATGTATGTTTTAGGCTTTTTAACCTTAGTGGAGTTCTTTTGATGTTGTTTAAATTTTTTATAATTCGTGCTTTCCAAAAGCCATACATATATTTATGGTAAACTAGCCCGTAGGATATGTTGCATATTTTTGAAGTTTTCAACTAACACCTATTCTTAATAGATCCTACATGTATAATACTTTCTGTCACATAATCTTTAGCTTGGGATCATGCGTAGCTTTTCAAAGAATAACGGGCGTGTAGTATTGAAGATTCTTAGTTTACTATCGTTAAAACACATCTAAAGTTGTTTTCAAATTCTTATTTGTACGGTTTAATTTACGCGCTCCCTTCGCAGATTACTGAATGCACTCACGCTACTTCAGAAGAAGTGAGCGTTAGTGAAACAGTCGACCGATGCGCAGGAGAATAGATTTAATTATAAATATATGTCAGCCAGTACCCGTAAAGGCATGGACCATATCTTACATTTACTACTGAAGTTTGTTTAGACTTTATCAAATCCAGCCTGTAATAATGTCAAGACGACACTCAATGATTCCATTTTCATTACTTGCTTTCATATATATTCTGCTATGAATAATGTCTTTGGTTCTTACTTCCAGCATTACAATGATGACGATAATAACATTCAACATGGAGGAAGATCCGTGTCGTCACCATGTGAATACAATAGAGCACGTGGTCTTACAAATACCACATGATGTCATCAATCAGAGAGGTGTTAGCATTGAAATTGTTTCACCAAGCATGACACCATCTATTGTTTTAGATACAAAAGATGGTAAAAATATTGACCAGGATACTTCACCTAGACGTTTAGCTAGTGTTCATTTCCTGGGAGAATCTCCTATTGGGTATTGGATGGTTAGGATACAATTCAAAAACCAACTAGGTAAGTCAATATTTCTGTCTTGAATTATGATGTGTAAGACATGATTTATTCATAACAATTGCTGGTAAGCCCACGAGGACAACATACAGTTGGTATAAGTATTTGTATATATCTGACATAACAAAACTTTACTAAGTTGATTAAGCCATTCACGTGACATTTGAAGCTTTGAAATGTATTATAATGGATATCTATGCAAAGTGTTTTAATAATTTTGATGTATCTAAAATGTTTCAGTTGAAATTCCCTTGGAATCAGTGTCTTTAACTGTATATGGAACTTACGACGAATCGAAAAGAAATCATTCTAAGACATGTTCGCCTCCACCAGAAAAGCCACCCACTCCTATTTATAAAGAAAACGCCACTAAGAAAAAACACGAAACTACCAACCACCACAGAAACACACCGGAAACTGATCATACAGCTCCGGTGAAAAACTCCGCGTCACCGCACGTACAGTCTCAACTTTTCATCTTGTACTTTGTCGGACTTTTTATCGTCAACCGTATTTTACAATATATGTGTATTTCATGATATTAGACATTAGTTTGCTGTTTGTCATTTCAAATGAATGTTCTTGACGGGTGTGTTAACCGAGAGATGCAATAAAAACAAATACATGTATTTAAAGTTGAAAATTAAGGTTCGGTTAAGTTGATGCTATTGAAGAGAAGAGACGAAAGGTTGCGCAAAAGAAGCGTGGGTTCAATTTTTTAACATTAATAAGTGCCACAAACAGTCTGGTAACAATTCCTGCTTCAAATATGAAATGTCAGATAAGACAATGAAAAATCCAAACATCAAACGAAGCTTGCATGTCTTACAAGGATAAGATGTTTTAAAGTTAATGTCATTCCATTTAAAGTGGATCCAAGAACATGAAAGTAAAATGTACAAGATAGGGTTGAATATGACATAACAAACATTATATTGATTTTTAATGGGTTAAATGTTTGCAGTATCTTACCACTGTGATACATATACTCGTATATGTCTCATATTAAATGATATTACACAGTGGCATTACTCATATCACCTGGTATTATATACATAAGTTAATCAAAAACATATGAATAACTATAACTGGAGTTCAACATTGTGATATATTTTTGCTCATTACCTTGTATTATGCTGTCCTATTTTGTCATTATATTATCATCCTTTTTATGTTCTAAATGTGAACTTGTTTTTATCTTGTATATGTGCTGTTGATATGTCATTCTCGGCTCATATTATTTCTGGTATATTTCGTATAGTTAAATGACATATTGCATACTACTGCTTAATATAATTTTTTATAAAGATATAAGATTGTTTTATTTCATAATTTCTGTGTGTTTTTATTAACCATTTTGAATATACTTTTATCTAAAACAAAAGTTTTATGCCCTTTCCTGTAAATTTACTTTAACTGTTTTAGAATTTCAAAATAAGACAATTACTTAGTCTTCCAGTAACAATCGCTTATCTTCAGCCGTTGAGTTTTCAAGTGTTACCAAAGTCAAATTTAGTAATTAATGTGCTCTTAGTCAATGTAAAGTTGTTTTCATTCTTATCATTGTTTAAATAGTCATTCATGTAAGGATACATTTTTGTGATTGACAATAATTAAGGTGCCAAAATTTTGTTGATAATGCTCACATATTTTCATATTTTAGGGAAAGATGGCAGGATCCATCAGGTGCAAAGAAATATGTAGTTTTTTAAGTTTAAATCACTCCAAAAGTCTCATTTTATTGTATAAATGTTTTGAGGGGTGGTTTTCTTACTATAAGTGGGGAAAAGTATATACTTCTAGGTGGGTAATTAGGCTAAAATGGCCTACTTAAGTAAAAATCACTTTTAAATGGTAAATAATTTTTGATGTAAATTTATGAAACTAATATATGTTGTTAAGTTATGACTGATATAGATGGCTATATAATTGAAATGTAGATTTTGGTATTACCAAATTGATACTAATTGAATAATTATGCTATCTTGCCATTCCAAAGTATTCCATGGTAAATGAGTACTAACTTATTTTCTGATTCATGCCTGACATTTTACTACTTGTACATTGTAAATTAGATTAGAAACTAGCAAAAGAATAAATTGCCAAGAATCTAAATTATGTCATCCACGTTTTTCCTCGTATCGGTTCAGGTCTAAACTTTCAAATGAATAATTACTCATTTTCTTTATCAGCCTACATGTCATTGAATTATTTGTCTTTGGAATTTATGTCCTAATATAATATAAAGTTTTATTTCAAACTTCACAACAAAAAATAACCAACAAAGTTCGAAATATGTAAAATATATGAGCCAAAATATTATTGTTGAAAGACTTTATAATTAAAATATTATAAGTCTAAACATCTTTGCGTTGATTTATCTTTTATTTTGTAAGTAGTGCATGTTATGATTCTCTTAACTTATCTTCGTTGAATACAGTCAAATTGCAATAAGTTACAACATACAAACTTTTCTTACTTTTGGTTACTATTAAAAACACACCGTGTTCGAATTCAATAAGGTTCGATAATGAAGAAGAGCTGTGCATGATGTCTGGTAAAAAAGAGTTCGTCATGCTCGGTTGGAAGGAAGCCATCAAAATATCATGCAAGATGACAAAAGTTTTACCCTAACATTTCCAAACAAGTATCATATGACGTTATTTTATAAACAATTTGGATAGGAGAAATAGCCGTAATGTGTCCTCAAAATATCGTCGTTGCACAACTCCTTACAATGAAATGTCGCGTGCAGTGTTTCCTTCTGTCATTTATCTACACAAATATCTTTGATATCGTTCTTTGTTCTTGGAATGTTTGTAGGTGTTGCGTTTTAAGAGGTAAGACGTGCTGTATTTAGTTATCGACCAACTGGTTCTACACGTGCCTGCCAAAAGTAGAACTTGGGTTTAGAATTACTGCATTAAAGGGTATACACACTTGAAACACATTGCGTGTTCTCTTCTATTTTTTAAAGGTACATTAGGCATAAGAAATGTTTATTTTCCTTAAGTAGAAAGAACAATCCCCTGATGAAAATTGCGTTGATTGTGAAAGAAAATGTCATAAAGGTAGCAAAATGTACTACCATGCATAATACTAAATAAATAAAACTGTACTAATTGCCAATACCGCAAACGAAGCAAAACATCGTTAAGGTATATAACCAGTGTGTAATCATTTGGAAACAGTATCAGAGCACTCAACCTAGTAAAATTTAATATAATGCTATTTGTTAGACTTATTAAGTCTTTAAAACTTGTACATTGTTTATATTTTATCACTGTCCTAATAACAATAAATCATATTATATATAAACAGACGTTGCTAGTCATTATGCCGATTAACCACTCTTATAAATAAGAATATGTTGTGCATATAAATTAACCTTAATGATTATACATATTGGTCTGGCTCAACTTTCTTTTATGTCAATTGCTAGTCAAATAGATTTGATTTAGGTTTAGGTCACTTACTGAATGCTAGGTACTATAGTAATTGTTTTTTGGGAGATTTAATGTTATTAGGAGAAACATTAGCAGCGAGTCCTGTGATTAAGATATATTAAAATTTATCCGCATGTCGTCTTAAAATATAGTTACAATTAAAACGTATTATTGTAACTATATATTAGATATATACTATATTTTTCAACTTTACTTTAAAATTACATCTATTTAGGTACACAAAAAGTTATTCTCTGCTTATAATAAAAGTTGTTCATATTCATTAGTGTGTTAAATCGCGCGGATTATTATCAAATTATTGCACGTGAACATCTTTATACATAAACGTTCCGTTACAGGCAGCATTGAATTCATTTTCTATTTCATTATTACAAAAGGGACAAACACTTTTATATTTATCATTAGGCGTTCAAATTCACCCATGCCAATTCTAAGGGGCATAGTATATTACATTGGGTTGGCTTCAATTCAATGGAGCTATATATGTAATCTTACTGAGTTTCAATGTATTTAATCGATCCGAATAATCATTTTCCAATATGTGCAATAGGCCGGAACAATGAATACCATCGTAGCCTGCATGTAAATTTATCTACCGGTTTCAATTCAATACTTCCAGAACAAAAAAAGATCCATTAGATATTCTTTTCAAACCCATCAATATAGATAACATAATATAAACTCTATATACTGCATAAATGCTTGTTTACCATAATAAGTTAGCATTTAAAGTACGATTTTGTTTAGACGGGTTAAACTTAACCGACATGCAAACATAAAACAGATATTAAATTTCAACTTCTTATTCGGTTTATGACGCTAATATATGTCTTTTTAAAAATCGTTAATTTCCCTGTCTGTATCGACAAGCATTTTCACCCTTAGTTACCAACATTCAGGTGTAAACATAAAGGTATCAACTTGGATGTGATTATTGATGGTGATCGCAACCGAATCAATACCACATTTATACTGTTTTAGTCTGACCTATTGATTGGATTAAGATTGCAATTGAACAGGTAACTATTTTAGATTCATTTCTTTTGCATTTTGCACATTGTTTTGGTCATCTCACAACAAAGATTGGTGTGGTTTATTTGATAATTTTTATGACAATATATTTATTGTACTCAAATATAACTGGTATTGTTTTTCATATAGTTATTGTGCTCGTGAAATTTCGTGATAGTAATTTCAAAAAAGTATTTAACTATTTACTGCTTTTTCACAAACATTTGCCATTGAACTAAACACGATTGAAAAGCAATAAAACGAGATCGCAAAACAAGTACAAGAATAGAAGTACAAAAAGGTAAAGATGAATACAAAGATACAGTATATTTCCACAATGGGCGGTGTAAGGGGGTCGTGAAGGGTCATGTACCTCTAAATAAATGCAGATTTAAACTACTATACTTACTGTTTTCATGACTACCGAAATATCTTCCTTTCAATCGTACTTGTTTTATATTTATTAGTGGGTATGGATATAATACAATTTTTCCTAAGCATATTTTGTAGCTTGCAATGACTGTTCGTTCAATTCTACTTTGCTATTAAGGGTCTAACGAGGCCAAAACAAATATAAAAATGTTTATAACTTTGATAAAACAAATACATGTCATATATCTAAAAGCAATACAGTCATACTGCTTGACTCAAGTTCAAATGGATGAACTACCATAAACATACGAAGTGGCTAGATATAGTTTTTATAACTATCGGAAAAAACCTATATAAGCGGGCTAAGGTGAATCTATTTTTAGAACATGCGTCGTAAAAAAACTTCAATTTTTTTTTATAAAGCCGGGTCGAGTTACCTTTTAGAAACTCTATTGAAATGGGGAATTTAACTTCAGTTCAACTGTCTAAGTTATGTATGCTTGACTACTTAAATCTTTGAAATGAATTGATTTGAATGGAACTCTCAATCTGCACACAATATTCATATTGCAATTATTATGTGTCACAAATATTTATTAAATTTACACAATACGGCATTCAAATGTCAATAAGGCGCCTTGAATTTTAGCAATATGTTTTTTGTTTAATTCTATGCATGGATTATCTTTATTAAAGACAACTATTAATCAAAATGTATTGATTACTAAGCATGTTGTTCTTTCCATATCTTGATGAAATAAATGTCATTAAAATGATGCATTAAAATATAAACTGAATACATATGACCGTTTAATTATATAAACTCGTCTTTTGAAATAATTGTCAAAATGAAATAAATTTTACCCCATAATCACTATATTGATTTGTTGTCTGAAACACATGACCGCCCTTACACAATACATTCATGATAATTTGTAAGCAATGAATCAAGTTGCCTATACATGACGGCCAATAACAAATTTCAAAAAAGAAACATGTAAAATAACAGTTTATTCTTAACAATATTATTCAGATAGATAATTTCACCATCGATAAAGAATAAAGCGACAAAAATTATTGCATGGCATTTTGTCGTATGTTTATTATGTCTGTGAAAAGCGTTATGCATTTATGCACTTGTTTCCGTTTGAAACACATTGAAATCCTAGCAAACATGCAGTTTATTTTGATTTTCTTACTTTAAGAACATAGCTGACAAACACAGATATGTCTTACGACCGGTTCGGCGGTATTTATTCGTACCCTGGTTATGGATATGGATACGGAAACAGGTACGGCTCAAGTTCTAGATATGGGAGCAATTATTACAATAGATGGGGTAGCAGTGGTGATGGAAATAGCTATACGTCGCCATACAATAGAAATTATAGGTATGGACGCAGAAGGCGGAGGCCCAACTACTGGGAAAGAAACAGGCCATGGTACAACAATTATAGAAGATATCGAAACACAAGATCCCCGTCACCTGCAAGAGAAGGTAATACAATTACAAAGAATTACAAAGAAGAAAAGTTAGAAAAAATGGCTAATGTCGTAACAATGCGTGTTTTGTAACATATTGAAGCTCCGACGTGGATGTGAACAAGAAACAAACATATTTTTTTCATCTCACTTATTAAAAAATATAAAAAAGATAGATATAGAAAATGTTCGACCAAGATTGATTTAATCTTTTGGTCATGGCGTTTGAAAGCAGCCTAGTACAGCTTATGTAAAACAGTGACATATAACTTTTATTTTAGAAAAAAATAGTGAGTAAATAAAGAAAATTGAAACAAAATAGAAAAATAAAGAATCCCTAAAGAAAGCACAACAAGACAAAATTGAAAATGTTGCAGGCTCGGTTTGATTGAGCCTGTTATTTCCGACAGTATCGTTATATTCTCTTGTCATTATATTGGTTTGCAAATGTGTGTGTATGTATATAATTATAATGAGTGTGTGATTAAAAAGTTATAATGTTATTCTATAGAAACACGGCCACCACCTCCTCCTCCAGAAGTGCCGGAAGTACCGGAAGTGCCGGAGGATGAATTGGCGAAAGAATTATTTGTTAAAGATGTTGACCTACATATTGGTATGAATGCTAAAAAACACAGGTAAGATACTAATAGTGACATAATATTGTAACTATCTAAATCCTCTGATATTATTTGTTTGTTTGTTTGTTTGTTTCATTTTACGCCTTTTCCAACAGTATTTCAGTCATATAGGCGGGTGGTTTCCTAACCATCGTTCCTGGAGAGTTACACCAGTACTAGACTACCTTCCTCCGCGCTAAACTACCAAAGCATCTCCCGGGGATCGAACCCACGCCAGAGAGGTAACTGGATTAGAAGTCATCGACTCTAGCCCCTCGACCACGGAGGCGGCCTTCCTCTGATATTAAGCAAACATGAAAAATGGTAAAAATGAAGGCGGACGGTGAAATGACATTGTTGTATTTTTCCGAATCACTTGTATTACTATACATTACGGAATAACACTCTGACGCATCCCCTTTCCTGTAACGCATGAAAGTATTTCTTTTTATTTTCCATTTGCCTGCGTTATTGTTATGAATTTCAACAGTATAATGGAGGAGTTTATATAAACTGTTGTAAATATATATAATACGGGGTGTTTAATGGGAAATTAATCATACTGCATAAGTACTTTTCCGCATTCAAATAGAAAAAGAAATCTTCCATGTTCATGTATATATACGAGATAATATTAATGTCATAATTATCCAATCAAAATCAACGTTTCAAAAGTGCAGTATATATTAAAATTATAATACGAATGTATCACAAAAAACATCTCTAATCATTCACCTGCTAACGTTATGTGTAAATTATTTCTCATAATTTTATCATACCATATTTCAGAACTGATGAATATACTTGCACGCAAGGAAAGGACGCTGAACTTATAGTACGCCGAGGAGACAAAGTGAAAATGACAATAACATTTGACCGACCTTATAATAAGGAGAAAAACGATCTGAAACTTTGCTTCTCTTTGGGTAGGTACTTTGTTTCCTTGTAGGGATGCTGTATTTCTTAAAAGAATATGTATTAGTACTAAAGATACCTTACCACTAAGAGACATCGTGTTTTGATAAAACAATATATTCCGAAATACAAACATCCGTCTATACCTTTATAAACTGAGACAAAACAAATGAAATAGGTTTCCATATGAAATACTTAACAAATTTATGAAAAGTATAAAAAAAACTTGTAAACAACAGGACTAGTGAAGACAAAATATCGTCATTTTATGTGACAATGACATATAAACATAAAATTCTGTGAGCACAAAAATGTTTTATTTTACTTTTTTCTGCTCGATCTAAGTTTTAGAAGATTCACTACGACTTACGCAAGTGAAGGATACGCGCGAGATGATGCTGTACTTTACTACATTACATCCGTTAAAAATCAAAGAAACCGAGTTTGCGAATTTCAAAAATGTTTGTTTTTTTAATTTTTATTTATTCTATTATCTTATTTTTCTTCTTTTTTGGACATTGTTTTCACATGTTTTTGTAATTTCCGATATGATATTTGTCATCCCGTCGTGCAAATGCTTTCGTCTCACTGACCATCACTTTTGTCTTGATTTATAGGACCATCCCCTAAAGCAAACAAAGGGACTCTGGCTTTGTTTGAAATTGATGAATCCGGAAAAGAAAAGTTTGGATTGGACAAATGGGGCGCTAATTTGACCAGCAGAGATGATGCAAAATCTGAAATAACAGTTATGGTAAGAGTGTAGTCGTCTTGAATGAAAAAAATAAATAAACCAATACGCAAAAGCCGACATTACAATCAAAAAGATACACTTTGGTGTGGAATAATAGACTTGGATGTGGACATTTTATAGGGTTAACGCACGTTTTCCGTGTTATAACGTCTGCAGAGTCCCAAGGAACGGTTGGTGCCCGAGACCGGTAGGGCGAGTGCTCCAACAGTTCTGAGGGACTCTGCAGACTTTACAATACGAAATAAACGTGCGTTGACGTTATTACAGCATATAATTCTAAAATAGATTCATGATGTATATTTAATACAAAACACAATTACATTAAACCCTTGTGCTCGGACAGTATTTATCCAATTCTACATGTTTTACGTATGCGTTTTATTTTTCCGGGGCCAACAACTGGGGAATTCTCAGAACCGAACGAAATTTTGAATTTTAATTGATTAAACAAAGCTCGACATTGGGGATTTATTATCTCAAGAAAGAAAACAACGTTACATTACTCTACCCAATACAATACATGACCCTCAGAAATTCTTAGAATGATTTCAGATTGACGGTAGAAAAGATCAGTGACATCAGAATCGGGGTTTTTCAAGCTCACAAGTTTTTAAAAATATTCAGGCACTAAACATTATTCTCTCAAAGAAATATAAAGAGCATTCACCAACATAAACATCAATAAAACAACATTTTCTCAACTGAATGACTAAACTGAATGACAGGTATTTGTTTACATTGACAACTGTCCGTTTCTTAGGAAGGGCGACAACCAAGATTAGCAGCGATGTCTATAAACACCGTGTTTCCGGCATAGTTACTTGAATGCTACTCGCCGTACGTAATGCGATTGAGGCCCGCGAATCAATAATTTAAATATAACAAGAGCGCATGACTCTTTGGCAAACAGTCCAAATCGTCATTTTTTGTTTGTTTACTGGGCCCTTTATGTATTGCGCATAGGTGAAACCGGGCTATAACAAGAGCGCGTGACTATGTTAACACATGGTTTTGGTCCATAACATGGGCAAAATAGGGAAAAATAGCCGACTTTATGCTATAATAATGATAATAATATTTTCTTCGTAAACATCGTATGCAAACTTATGTTTAAATCATTCTTACCAGTAACTTATGCAAAAAAATTCGTTGTTGCATGCCATTTTTCTGTTTAGTTTTCGTAAACTTTAAGTGTGTTTGGTTATTAGCTTTTGAAAAATATATTCACCGATTGGTTTGGTATGAAAATTTGTATGAAATAACATCTGAACGTTTATAAGGGTTTCTGTTAAGTTAACAGAGTTAACAGAGCACTTTTCTTTTCATTACAATTTCGATTATTGTCCAGGCATGCACTTATGTTGATGTATCTAATTAAATCTTATAAAAAGTGGAACATTTTAGACATTAAAATATATTTTTCTTTTTTTTCTAGGTTTCTATTCCTGCTAACTGTATTATTGGAGAATGGAGCTTCTTTGTCAGGACAATAAGTGAAGGGAAAAGTGAGGATGGCAAACCGAAGGAAATTATTGGCAAAGATTTCCAGCTCGAGGATGATATTACAATCTTGTTTAACCCCTGGTGTAAAGGTGAGAGATCTTGTTTTTCTTTACATTTTGCAATTAATTATTTTAAAGCTGAAGACCACAATCTAATAGATATACTAGAGCAATCGATACTTTTTATTAGACAACAATGCCTACGAGACAGATTTAAATTTTTCACAAATTTCATTATAAAGTGGTCAAAGTTTCTGATTTACATGCGTCATTCAAAACAAAAGGGGATACTGTCCCCATTTTACCAAAAGAAACCTGAAAGTTCCCCAAATGACTTTTACTTTCAAGATATTTGTGAAAAGAAGCACGGCTGGTTTTAAGTACCAGTTTAATTTAGGAATGGTCAATGCTGTTATCTTTCGTTAATTTTAAAACTTATATAACTTGCAAAATATTTGACTGCTTCAAAATCGTTTGAATGAAAATGACGATTTTACACTATACATTTCAAAAGAGAGAAAACATTTAATGATATGGAGAGTGAGAGAGAAATTATATTTACATTTGTACACGTTCATGCAATATCTTACGAAAAAATGCTGTGAAAAGAAGATGAGGAAATGCGATTTTTTTATTTAAACAAATTGTATTCCAGATGACCCTGTCTATATGTCAGATGGTGAATTACTTGAGGAGTACGTTTTGAATGAAAATGGTTCTGTGTGGCGAGGCAGCTATAATACTCTCTCTCCCAAACCATGGAACTACGGACAAGTATAAATATAAAATCAAAAGTCACGCTTTTTCTAACAAGCATTAAAATATAATATGTTTTCCTGATTAAGAATTATGTTTTGTAATAAAAGTAAATGCATGTCGTTTCTGAGCGTCAAAATTCATAGAATATAATGAACAATCTCCATTTTGTGTTTTCTCTATTAAGTGATATAAATTCATTAGTCAAGGAACGGTGTACTAGAAAATAAGATGTAATTTTGTCAAATAAACGATTATGGGTTCGAGCCCTACTTGGGTCACGACCATGTTTCCTCATATGACACCAGAACTATAAAGTTCCAGAAATCAGACTCGAAATTAGTTTTAATAAGCTTCATAACTTGCATAAAGATCAAACTAACCTTACTATGCTAATACAATTGTAACTGTTAAACTAAACTAATTAACTGGTAAACACAAAACTGTTTCAAAACGCCTCTTCAAATGTCGAATGCCAAAAAGTATGTTTTACTTAAAAACAGAAAAGTCCACGAGCTCCAGTAAAAACTACAATAAAAACAGTTTGTTTGCAGCTAATAGTATTTTGGATAATTTTTTAGGGTTAACCTTTTTAAACTTTCTGCCATCCTTTTATTGGTTGCCTTTCTAGAAACCCTGCGTCTTTAACAAACCATAAATGTATTAATTATCCTTAACAGTCCGCTATAACCAATCCAACAAAACTGAGTATACGTTATAAAAGTGTTAAAACCTCATATCAGAATATCCCATATCCCCATATCTGTCTTACTTGAATATAAACAGAATAATTGTATTTTTTTTGCTCTGTTTTATGACAACTCCTATCCATTTTGTCTTCAATCTATAATGCAAATCTTACAATTAATTCCATTGAATAAAAGTCCATATTATGTATATTTTGCATGTCACATGACTAGTTGGACATTTGTTTAACTTTCAGTTTGAGACGGATATTCTTGATGCGTCGCTCTCTCTTATAAGGTTAGGATTTGGTGACAAATTGAAGCCGATGTCTGACCCTGTCAAAGTTAGTAGGATGATTGCAAAGATGGTAAGGTCAATTTATTTGTAAACGTTTATACACTATAGCTAATTGTCACAACGGGCCAAAACCTGCGGGTCGGGGTTATCGAGGAAAACCAACGAACATTTTTTCCTTCCGACTAAACAGCACTACCTACTTAATTGAATGGTTTATTGGAGGCCAACAGAAATGTGTCTCATTAGCAGTGCACTGGTACTTAGCGTCAATCTTTACCATAAAATTGTCCCCGTACGGGCCTTTACTGGAAATTTGGTAATCCAAAAGTCAGAGCTGTTCTAAATATCTGAGGGCATAGCCTAATGTTTAATCTAAATGGTGCAATATTCAAATCAAAGTTTTAATAAAACATTGGCCATCTGGTAATATTTTCAATCATTAATCTTAAATAAATAAATATCTTACGTAGAATTTGGAGAACTTTTAAAGTCTTCCAGGCTTACTTTTAACACAGATAATTGCAACAATACATTTCTTCAAATTTCTATTAATTATAAAAATATACTGTTTAATATTGTCTCGTAAAATACACATAGTAAATGCTTGTTTTTGTTTAATAACCTACACTTTGTTTTGTTTTAGGTTAATGCAAACAATGACAACGGTGTGCTAATTGGACGATGGGGTAAAGATTATTCTGGCGGTGAAGTACCTTGGTCCTGGGTGGGCAGTCTTAAAATCTTGCGGAAATGGATAAAAGATGGTCCAGTGAAGTACGGGCAGTGCTGGGTCTTTGCCTGTGTCGCCACAACAGGTGAGCCGCGTCACGCCAAAACAAACATAGTGGGTTTGCGACCAGCATGGATCCAGACCGGCCTGCGCATCCGCGCAGTCTGATCAGGATCCATTCTGTTCGCTATCAGTTTCTCTACTTGTAATAGGGTTTGTAAGCGAACAGCATGTATCCTGATCAGACTGCGCGGATGCACAGGCTGGTCTGGATCCATGCTGGTCGCAAACGCACTATGTTGGTTTTGTCGTGACGCGGCTCAAGTATATTAATCCAACCTACGGTAGTAGATACAATTCTAAAACTGAATGTGGTTCGGTGTGTCCGGGTGATTAAAGCGTTGGACTGGTAATCTAAGGATTGCTGACCGCTAGGGTTTAAACCCTCTTAGTGACAAGCCGTTGTTTCCTTAAGCAAGAAACTTTACATTCATTGCTTAGTACTGGTTGGTTCCAGGAACTGATTCGAGAGTGCTTCAATTAGTCTCTAGCTTCGAATACAATCGAACTAAAATAAATTTGCATAAACTTACTAATTAGACATTATCAAAAGGTTATCATGTTGAGCCTTTTTTATTCAATTTTTATTGAACATTTGAAATCATATTCATAAAAACAAGGTAGCATAAAAAGCAAATTGAACGCATTAAAAAACCTACAACAAGAGAATTTAACATAAAATGTAAGATAATAAAAGAGGGAAATATTCAAGGACACTAAATATTCAATCAAATATTCATTTTAATATGTTTTCAGTTTGTAGGGCACTCGGCATACCTTGCAGAACTGTAACAAATTTTGAATCTGCTCATGACACTAACGGTAGTAACACTGTGGAAACCTATTTTAAACCTGGATCTGGTGGTTTTCTTGAAAAGGATGAACATCACCGTGAGAATGACTCTATCTGGTATGTATGCTTGGAGGTAAAAATAACAAATACATCTTGACATCATACAAAATATAGACATAGAAATATATTAAAGAGATTTCGAAAATGTAGCAAATTTCTTGGCGATGTGATGTCCCCCTCAGCTAACCTCAGATCTGTGATTTCATTGTAAATTTATAGATCCTAGAATCTATATGTATTAACCAGGTACCAAGAATATTTCATAACTGAAAACTTAAATAATTCAGTCATTAAGTCCATGTTTTTTACATGTGTCATTCTTAATTATACAGATAATACTTTTATTCAATCAACTTGTTTATTATGACTTTTGGCTGGATTGTGTCGGGGCTGCGTTCTGTGATCGTCGCCTTGCCTTTTGCCTTGCTTTGATTCTTGTTCTCATTTTCTTTTAAAATTTTAGGAACTTTCATGTGTGGAATGAAGTCTGGATGGCTCGTAACGACTTACAGGAGTTTACAGAACATGGTTGGCAAGTAATTGATGCAACACCGCAGGAATCAAGCGATGGTAAGCAAAATAGAATTTAAAAATGAATACATTTATTTATTTGACTGTTTCTTTGCTTGATGAAAAAAGCAAAAAGGCTTACTTTGAAAAGGTAGGTACGATGTAAATTAAAATACACATGTATTTTCGGAGTAAACTAATTATTTTCAAAAACACTGGCTAGTAATAAGGTATATATTTATAATGTATATAGATAAACTAAAAATTAAAGAAAGTATTGACTTTTAAAAATATAAAGAATATTTATTTATATGCTCTGTTATACAGGTTACATGCAGTGCGGACCATGTCCAGTTCGGGCTATTAAGAATGGCGTTTGTACTGTCAACTACGACTGTGGATTTATCTTCACTGAAGTTAATGGTGATGAAATCCATTGGATAACTTACCCGGACGGTTCGGAAGAAAGGAAACGGATCATCAAAGATAGGTAATTGACAGTAATTTTATTCTTAGAATATAAATACATCTACTCTGACAGATTACATTATCAGTGATTTCAAAATCAACATTTGACTACAGTTTTACCTCGATTTGAAACCAAATGTTTCAAGCTTAAGCCGGTGATAGGGGTGATGTCAACGGTAACTTTTTCCTGTACCGTCAATGAACAGGTTCAGTCTAACAGAATCTGCAATATTTCCATTTTTTATTTTGCCGTTTCGGTCGTTCTTAAGAAATGCCGTCTCTCTCTCTCTCTCTCTCTCTCTCTTCTTTTCCTCGTTGCAAAGTGTTTTTTTTGTTTTTTGTTTTGTTATTGTTGTTTTTTTTTTTTGTTTAAAGACTAAGTATTTTAATATTCATTAGTATTTCAAGCCGATATTATCGTATTAAAGAAACACGAAAAAATTTACATAATGTAAATTGCTTTATATAATTATGTTATCTCTGATTAAAATATCAATTAGATATACGATACTATTTCAGTGTTGGTAAGAATATCAGTACTAGAAAACCAGGAGAGCAAACAGAAAGACTGGATGTCACAAACGAGTATAAGTATAAAGAAGGTACATAATTTTTACGCTGAGTTCATATTAAGACTGAAGTTCTTTTGGTGTCCTTCGCCCGTCATTCTTTGCCCTACACGTTGTTAAAATGTCAAAAGATTGTGGGTGAATAAATGCACCAACAGAAGTTATCAACATGTACTGTATAAATTTTTAAAGTGGTTCTTGTAAAAAAAAACGATTAAGACAACGAGCGTTGATAGATCCCTACGCTGACTTTTTTTTAGATAACAATAGATTTAACCACAAACATTGAAATGTGCTATTTCGTGGTAAAATACATTTTGGTAAATTTTTAGTGTTATCAAGTAAACTGATAATTCAAATCGGTCAGATTAGGATCCTGTAGGGGTCTATGCATTGTCATCAGTCTTCAAAATATGTCAATAATTACAAAGTTGGTGTCGATCAAAGAACCAGTTATGCTACCTAAGTATTAATAATCAGAAACCAATTGGCTTAGAGATATTATATTTGATTTGAAGCAACGTCCAGTTCTGTTCCCGTGGCAGAGGTTATTTTTCCACTATATGAATGAAGTGGGTTCCTTTGTAGAACCACACCATTTAAGGCTTTTATATAGTTTTAAGTCCCCTACCGGTTTACGGGAGGGGACTTTGGCTTACCCTCTGTCCGTCTGTCCGTCCGTCAGTCCGCACAAACATTTTAGGTATATGAGCTAACTAACAGTACACTGGAACAAAAGAGAACAAATTACTTCATTCCGTAAATAATAGTTAGCTCATAAGGAAACAATAGTTAGCCAACAAGGAAACAAAAGAAAAGAACAATAGAAATAGCTCATAAACCTGAAAAATTGGTACGTCCGTCCGTCCGTCTGTCCGTCCGTCAGTCCGTCCGTCCACAAAACTGGATCCCGCCATAACGCATAAAGTACTGAAAATAATTTTATGAAACTTGATACATGGATAGATTGCAGTATGGAGATTATGCACGTCTTTTTCTTTTCTTCCTTTGTTGAAAATTCTGGTTGCTATGGCAACAAATAGACTGAAAATATGGCACATTTTACACATAACCTGGATCCAGTGATAACACAAAAATTACTAAAAATATTTTTATGAAACTTGAAATATGGGTAGATGGTAGTCTGGAAATTATGCACATTCTTTTCTTTTCTTCTTATGTTGAAAATTCTGGTTGCTATGGCAACAAAAAGACTGAAAATATGGCAAATTTTACACATAACCTGGATCCAGTGATATCGAAAAAAGTACTAAAAGTATTTTTTATAAAACTTGAAATATGGGTAGATGGCAGTCTGGAAATTATGTACATTTTTTTTCTACCTATGTTGAAAATTCTGGTTGCTATGGCAACATTGAGACTGAATTTCAAGATTTCTGATTCTAGTTATTCGTTTCTTTATTTCTTAAGGTATTTTCTTCAAACTTCAAATATAAATTTATAGTCATCAACCTCATCATATTTGACAAGGTTTACAACTCTAGCACAAAATTTATCAGAATTTCCTCCCTTGAACTTAGAATTTTCATGACAGAAAAATTGATTTTTTTAACTTAATTTTACTTCAAATTCAAAATAAACATTCATTATCAACACCTTCATTACTAATTGTTCTTTGTAACACACACTTCATGTATAACGTCTTGCATCTATTTAAGTGTTATCTTCTTTTTTGGAATTTTGCTTTTAAAAATGTAACATTACTGCAGGAATGTTTAAAAAATAACTTTAGAGTGTCCTTCAGTCCACCTGTCTGTTTGTACATAAAAACTGTTTCCTGTGATCACTTTTAAAGAACTTTTTCAACAAATTTACTTAAAATAGAGACATTAGTAAATGGCCAATGGCCCTGCAGAATGTTGCTTGGGTTCTAACCGGTAGGGGACTTATGGATTGCTTGCAATGCTATGATAATTGCTTGTTAATTTTGGTCATTTACAAAAAAATTGTGCAGTTATACTGACCTATCCCTGGGGTTTTACGTTGACTTTAGTCGGTGCTAGGGGTCGTGACAGATGTTGCACTTTACATTTTCAAATTGGTATTGTCTAAAGTATGCCCTTGAGGTAAAAATGACATTGTTTTACCGCTCTGAAGTAATATCGATGTGATTTATGATATATATAGGATCGAAGGAAGAAAGGATAGCGGTAATGAAAGCTCATGAAACAGCACGATTTCCAAATCCAGATACATATGCAAATGTAGAAAAAGTCAAGGTGATATCATCTATTTCTCTACCATTGATAATTTAACGTAATGTGCTTTCTACAAAATTAAGCAATTCAATCCATCGATCGTTTATTTATTCTTTAAAAGTAGGTTGTTCTCTGCATACGTTTCGGTGATAAAACTATAACAATAATAACAAAATCATGTAAGCGTAATTTAGTATTGATCATGTTTAAAGTTATCTGGCCTGATGACGAACGTTTTCAGGACTCGAAGTATCTAGGTACTGACCCCGTTACTTAAAATATATACATATGCATTACCGTTTGCAATTTCAGCCAATCAAATTCGACCTTATACTGAGGGATGACGTCATGATAGGCAGCATCATGCCAATCAAGTTGGTGGCGAAAAACGAAGCGTCAAGAGAAAGAACAATTACCAAAGGAGAAATTATAGTATCACAAGCTGCATACACAGGTCATACAGGAAAAGATATCCTGAAAGAAGAGTTTGGTCCAGTTACACTGAAAGCTGGGGAAGGTATGTTTTAACTTATGTGTGGTATATTTAAAGACATAAGCGAGTACAAAAGTTTTAAGTTATAAACAGACAGAGAATATATTGCTACCAACGCGATAGTATGAAAAATGAGTGAAATTGTAAAGACGTTTAAGCTCATCAAGTATAAGGACAACTCGTAGAAAAATTTATTTACATATAATATTGCTTTCAAAATACATGCAATTTTAAAGTATTGTATAAATTAATGTTTTCTATTTTGAGTATTCAGGTAAACATGTTTAAAGATTCGTGCAATGATTTTAAAGGCCCTTTCTGCCTCAGCTATACTATCAATTTCATTTCTCAAATCGTTTCTGTTACCGTTTCCAAAACATTACTCATTTGTCAAATATATTAACTAGCATTTCTTCTTTCGCTATATGAGCAATAGGTATAATTAGAGAATTAGTATTGAAGTCAAAAGGCTACTTCGTTTACATTGTGCTACCTTTATGATGGCATATTACTGTGCGTTTAACGATACTTTATTCATTTGTCAAACATCTAACATGCTCTAAATTCTTCATCAAACATTAAAAATACATGTTTGACATTTCTAAAAAATTGAAAACAAAATGGATTTTTGAGTCATAATGTGCCTTTTGTTAAATAACAAAGTGATAAGCATATATTTCAATGTACTTCAGCTACGACTGATACTTTTGTTTCACATACTTTCAGAGAAAATCTTTGAAGCGCGTTTGCACCCAGACAAATATTTAGACTATCTAGTGGAACTAGCAAACATTGCCATTGTCGCTGAAGCTCAAATTGAACCTATTGGTGGCAGGGACGATGAAGAAGAATTTTACATGAAAAGGGCATCTAGATTCCGGCGACCGGATCTGAAAATCGAGGTAATGTTTTTGATATCTTATAAATAATAGATTTTATGTCTACAGTCTTATTTATCTTCTTTCTTCTCACACGTCATGATATCTCAATACAGAAGATGTTTCAAAGGAGAAGCTTAACTTGATCCGTAATAAGTAAAAAGGCAGATTCCCATGCAAAGTTTGCATAGTTTTTTATTTAAAAAAAGACAAATTTAGTAAGAATTATTTAATATTTCAATACATCTCTGCAATAAAGATATTTACTCTAAGATGAACATAGTATATCTTCAAAATATTAAGGTGATACTGCAATCTACATGGCATTTATGAAATTTTCTGTTGCTGTATGTGACAACACACATTACAGGGTCCAAAGACAGCGAAGGTTGGTGATGTCGCGAAGTTTACCGTCATCTTAGAGAATCCACTTGACAAACCACTGACCGGTTGTAAGATCTCAATGGAAAGTGTTGGCTTTGACGACTTCGATCTAAAAGATGTAAAGTGAGTAGATTAGAACACGATATATGATTATAATAAGTGAAAACAGTCACCTAGTGATTAAGGTATCCGATTCTCAACCGAGGGATCTTGGGTTCGAGTCTACTAGGAGTAACGAGCATGTTTCCTCGTATGACACCAGTACTGATAAGTTAAAAAAGCGGACACCATAATGACACAAATAACGTGAAAAATTTCCTTAGAAGCTCAGATATATGTCACAAAGAAACCTTTTTTTATATAATTTAAATATCATTCTATCAAAACAATGTTTATATTTTTTATACATTTTCAGTTTTATTGATGCAGCTTTTCTAGATAAATAATTTGAAAATATGATACTGGTGATGATGTTAATGATGACCATGATGATCTTGATGATGATGTACATATTAATGATATGATGATGAAATTGATAATTATTTGGTTATGAATATTCTTGCGATGCGACTGCTACTGTTGTACTGCTGAATTGTATTCACTATTTTTGTAGCTAATGGTAATTATTTCAAACAATTATTATACAAACAATATTAAAACAATGTTGTTAACATGCTATATTCTGTATCTTCAGTAACATCAAACCTAAAGAGGTCTGGAAAATGGAGTTCCCATTGAAAACTGTAAAGGCAGCGAGACATTCTGCGGTATATTTCAGCTTCGAGTGTGAGGAAATTCCAGATATTTCTGGATACTCAATTATTAAAATATCTGCCTAATATGCACTTTACAGTAGAATATTCGTGGGCGTACTAATTCATTAGTAACAAGAAGTTGTGTTTTATTTACGCCTACATATATTAAAAAATTCTGCAGTGTATCAAGTGCTTTTATACCTTTGATGCGTTGTGAATAGCTGAGTCAGATATTTTGACTGATATTCATATAGATTATTAAATAATGTTGAACATTTTGCATACAGCTTCTGTGATATTAAACTATTCTTATAACTTTTTGCTCACAAAATTTGTTTTGGAAAAAAAACACAATTGTATGAATTGTGCCTGAAATAACCTACTTTGTCATATTTTATCTATACTTATTTAAATATCTTTCTTCCTTTCGAACTTTTGCTGCGACTGTGAAAAGTTGCCTCGAACATATATCATTCGTATACTGTTGTTTATTCAAATCACTCCCTATATTTTTTTCTAATACATTTTAGTAACATAAACTCCGATGATTATGAACTTGAATTGAATGTTGAAGTTATAAAGATAAGTCTTTTTTTTAAATACTCATAAAACAGCGATTGAGGTTTTTCTTTACTTTGTAGACTTTCTTTCCAAAGACAAAACATCATCGAAAATAGTGACAAAATTGTTTTGAGTAACATTGTAAATAAAGTGACATTATGTTTATTTTGTGATTGTTAAGTTCAGCTGAATTGACTATATATTTCAATCAATTGACTGTTAGATTACATAGATTACCGAGAAGTGATTGGTCAACAGTTGGTACATAAATAAATGTTAAAATTAAAATACGAATTTGCCTTCAATATACAAAGACTATCCCACTCTTTTTCTAAAGTAAAAGTTACGGGTATTTACCCAGGAATCTTTATAGAAATTACATTGGGCCACGTAAGTTATTTATTGTTCATTTGAAATTTATTATAAAATTGAAAGTAATTATGGCAAAAGATAAACATTCACCTGTTCGCTTAACATATACCATTGGATGAACATAATGTCACTTTAAAGAGGCATAAGTACTTATATTTAAACTGACCAATTGGTCTGCTCAAATGTAAAGTGATATACCATTTTTCTATTTGTAAATGTATTAAAATAAATGATACGTAGATATTTCAGTTTGTTTTGTTTGTCATATCATTTTAAGATTGTTTCTTTTCTTGATAAATGAGCCACGTCATGACAAAACCAACGTAGTGCATTTGATAAAGGGGAAATAGATATCTGTATTATATTTAATAATAAAAAAGACGTGTAAAGAAAGTAACTTCCATAAAATTCAATTACATGTTTTCGACCAAAGTTTGTAATATTTGGAAATATGCAGACATCAAACATGCCGGTCAATTTGCAAACTATATACTGTAGAACCCACTGTAGCCATTGCAATAACCCTGTAATATGAATACACAATACAGATTCGGTATATCAATTTAACCTACGCTACAAAGTTAGGATATAAAAAAAATAGTGGGATTTGTAAAAAGCCGAAACTTTATTTCATATTCCATAAGATTTAGAATATTTTCACATGTACGGTAAGCGTAAATGTGTAAATCTACAAATTGAGCTTACGTTAATCATTTTCTTCTGCTAAACGCTTGTTTTCTGTGATATTAAATCACGATGACACGCACTCGGCGCAGGGCGTCATTCAAATGTATGTAGCCAAGCTTAATTCCTAATTCATACATAATTTTCTGTCTGTTTTCTAAATATTACACCAATACATTTTGTTACATTTAAGTGATATTCAGTTCAAATTTGACGTCATTTAGTCATGATATGGATAGATTATAAAGTTTTGAACAGCAGTGGTCATAGCGTTAAGTGTAGAAATATTACGTTCTTTTAAAAACTCGAACTTTTGCAATCGTTAAATTTTGCAAACAGATGGTAATACTTCTTCATGTAAAAGTAACATACAACAAAATATCGGCCATAATGACACTCGTTTTCAGCTTGCACAAGCTATTCAAAGATGGCAAATTATACAAAATCACAGACGGGAAAGGGCTATGAAAAAAACGGAATTATGACGGGACGTTAGTGACGTCCATTGCATAATGGCTACAGTGGGTTCTACAGTATATAGTTTGCAAATTGTCCGGCATGTTTGATGTCTGCATCGGGTCTTCTAAACAAGTTCTGACTAAACGATTCAAAATGAGACATATGTTTCAAAAACTATTTTAATTCATATAACTAGATAAACGTCTTACAAGTTATTATAAACAAGTTCATATTATAAAGATGCATGGTAATTATAAGAAATATTTTCCCCGATTTAATAAATGAAGCCTGTGCTCAAAAGAAGAGAACGCTTTTCAATTGGTATTTCTTTTTATATTTTACTAATCATATTGTTTTAAGAACGTAAGATGACATGTGTAAATTAATACTATAATCATTACCATTATAAGTCCACCAGCATTCTTCACGACAAAACGCGGACAGTGGCTTGCTACTTGCAATTCTTTCGGTCAAAGGAGCTATTTTGCTTCATCTAAAAAAAAGATAGCCGGTTATATTTAAATGATTCAGATACTGGAGCACCAGGGAGAATACTTTCAGAAAGAACGACGCTTATAATACGTATTCTAAGATGCCATCGATTGTTTTGTTTTTTTTACCAGGTCGCGTACCCCTTTTCATTTAAAATTTTCACAGAATTTTTAAATAAACTGTATTATGTCTGCACTGTATTTAGAGGTCATGTTACGATATATGTCTCTTGTTAAATTGTGAACGTAAATTCAAAAGGGAATAAAAAAGCAATCCTCACAACCCTCGTAGAATCTGTACAAAACTTGTGATGCCAGTGCTAAAACATACATGTAAACGATGTTTAATATTTGAGATTACATATACAATTGGAGATGAGAATGTCTGAAAACATATCATTATTAAATATATATGCTCGAAGTGTGCTTATAAAGATTAAAACATACACTTGACCTTATATGAAATGATTTGTTTTCTCTCTTTTACATTTCGAAATAGATTGGCTTTAATGAAAAAAGATTTTAATACTTAAACTATTATTCCTCTAAACATTTGCCTTGATTGTATCCAAAATATTAAACAAATATTGTTCTGTTTTGCAAGGGACCGATGACAAAAAAAACCGAGAATTATTTGTTATGAGACGTACGCAATTACGAAATTGAAAAAAGTGGACATTATCACTAAAAACATTAGATTTAATAGACAAATATTCATATACGATAACATGTTCTGCTATAGTTAGCTATAATTGATATGCCTTCTTGTTTGGTGTGCCGAACCGGTAATCCTTTATTGCTTGACATTGTTGGGAACTGCGCTTAGTGAATATCCTCGCCCCTGTTGATACAAATGTATTTCCTTTCATATTTTCATATTTTGACAGAATTGTCGGTAAGTCTCCTTTATTGATAAAGCATCAAAATAGAACACGAAAAATACAATAACTATAAATAAATATAAAGATGTAGACACGTTTTAACGCTTATAACATATTAGGAATGTATGCAATTCAATTTGTTGAAAACATTTTGTAAACAATTGTTCTAAACGACTAAAATTTCTTGAATAAATATGAAATGAAACATTAATATAGCGTTGGATTAAAAGCCTTCTGTTTGTCCATTATTAAGAACAATGATTACAAATGTCACTCCTCAAATTTATGACACAAAAACAATTAATAGAAAATTGGTGCGAAACATCCCCCAACAACCGCTCCCTAGACAGTCATCATTTTCACGGATCATAATAACAATTCTGGTCACACCGAATCAGAGCATAGCTTTGCCCTTCCCAATTGTAATACCCACCCTGTTGATAATTTGATTGATTATTGTTTACCGGATATTCATTTCATATCACTTTATCATCTTTATGCATAATTCATTAATTTCAACTATTTCTGTGGTCTTGGGAAATGCCAGTAAAACTAATACTAATAGTGAAACACCATTCAATTATGATTGTGACTGATATAAAATATTAAAGTGACAAAATGGGATTTAACAATTATGTCCACCACATTACAATGATATAAAAACAAATGTGATTCAGGCTTCTAAATATCATTAGTTAATAGCATTAGGTACTTTATCACTATTTTTTTACGGGGAAATTAAAAACAAATAGCAATATTGTTCAGAAGCATAAATACATTCGGACAGAAAGTATTTGTTTCACAGAAAATAATAACAATGTTTTGTGCGGTATAAGATTAAAATGGCTTAATCTAATAAAAAAATAAATTTTGTCTTATATATTTTGTCTTATTGTAACGGTCTTTATAAAGTAGGTTATTTTGAACATTGATATATGATAATTATTTGCAGACCTTACAGTTCAGTGATATATTTTCTTGGACTAATTAACTTCAAGTTAGTCAAACTTAAACACAAATATCTTCAAGACTTTTAGGAAGGGAAAATGTATTATATAATATCTTTCATTTGGATGGTAACAGCAGGCTGTCTGTTGATATGTCAAGTACAGTTTGTTACGGCTATACCAGAACAAACCACGTCTAGTAATACATCAGATGAATTACTTGATTATTTCACTGACACGTCATTATTCAATGATTCAGGATATGGAACTATGAGACCAGAATTCTTTATATATGCTGAATGGTTTTTAATGATGCGCGCCGGACGGAAAATAGATTTGAAGAAACTTATGTTGGAATACTCAAAGATTTGTCCTATTCAACACTCTTGTGGTGTGGATTTTGAGGAAAAATATCTGTTTACAGGGAATATAAAAGAAAGTCCAGCTTTCAAAGGTATATTATCATAACTTTTGATAAATTGATTTGCATTATGTTTTTATGTTCTGTATTATGTATAACTAGTTGCTATCTTTATACACTCATAACTATTATAAATTCATTATTACATTTCATAAAGAATTGGATGTTTGTGTTTATTGCTTGTATTTTGTTAAATGTTAATTCAAATATCAACAAAATAATGATTCCTTGTGGAAACAATTGGCTGATAACAAAATTCACTTTACCATTCTTTAGATTGTAAAGTCTGTCAATGCGGCCGACAATGTTGTTGATGACCCGGCGATGTTGTCCCCTGGGATCCCTACGCTGGGGTTAATGTTCCGCTCATGAGTGTACAAATTTTTACTAATACCCAAAAAGGAGGAAAAACTACATATTACAAGTTGGCAATGTTATTTGAAGAATTCAAAGATAACATTACACTCGTAACAAAGTGCAAGTCAGAGGTTAGACCATGTACTTCCGTGGAATCTGGGCTAGTTTATAAAAATTATAATTGTGCCGTTTGCAATGCAGATAGTAATTGTATTGAATGGAGGCTCGACGTGGACTGTACATTTGAGGAATTTATGGAAGGAAACAGTTTTAAATCATATGCTAATATAAAGGAAGCATTGGATAAATTCGGGTGTCAGATTCAATATAAACGCACTGAAAATAGTAATTTCGGTTATACACGTTGCCATTCCTATGATTATCTCCAGACTGTTCAAATAAGCCGTTGTAACGTAACCGGTCTTTGGCGTCAATATGATGCTGATATAGATTGGGCTTGTAGAAACTTTATCACACCATACAAGACTTTCAAAAATATCTACTGCTATATATGCAATCCAAGTCATGCAAATGAAGGGAACCAAACCTTAATTGAAAACTGTATAGTAAAGGATAATACTTATGAGATAAAAGAAATTTCGTCCGCATGTAAAACATTTCCAATCTCAGAAAGGCTTTATCCGTTTAGAAATATCTACTGTTATGCCTGCAGCTTTGGCCATGAATTACTCATGGACTCTGCAACTGACGCGTCTGTTTTGGTCGACGTTTTTGAAAAGAACGACCGTGCTTCCCTCAGAACAGAGATGCATCTTTCACTTGTGTTTCCTCATGAAGGTAATGTTATCGAGGTCAAAAGATTCATTCGTGAAGTTTTAAGCGGTGCATTTCAATATGAAATCAAAAATTCGAAGAAAGAAATAATAGATGATTTCCTTTTCACAAATATTGAAGATATATACAATTTATTTGTGACTGTTTGTGGAAATGGCCCACTTTGCAGTTATGATAGGAAAGATAATGAAACTTACAGCAATCCTGTATGTAGATATTGTTCCTGTGAAAATGATTGTGTTGAGAATGAAATGTGTTGTCTAGATATGACTATTTTAAAACAACCGTACACATGTGTCAATACCAAAGGATTCCCTTTCATCCGTAAAAATGAAAAGGAAGAAATTGACAAACATTTCGATATAGCGACAGAAAGTAAACTGTATAAGATAATAAATAAATGTATAAATGAAACTCATGAATTATCAGAAAAGTGTTCTTCAATCGGAAATACAAGTAGCTTCTTTGATGATGTACCAATTAGCACAGGTGGAGAAATTTCGTACAGGAATATATTTTGTTATGAATGCAATAATGAAAGGGTAAAACCAATTATTCTAGACGTTCAAGCATATTGCAAGACATTTATAGAGCATTATTTATTCACGAACTTAACGGATTTCTTAAACGCTATGATGAAACATTGTCAGACAATTTCGTTTCTACCTCTCAATACTAAAACATGTCTGGGTAAATATGATGATGTCAGCAATAGCCATATTGGTGGGGAACATTTTGAAAGGGTGGGGGTACATTCATCTAGACTTCCAGGAAAAATTACTCGAGAAGTTAATATACCAGCTAAGACATTAAATGATCAAGTGAAAGAAGTATTTTCTTCATGTAATATGTCAGGATTTCAAACAGATACAAATGATGTTCTTAAAAACGTATGTGAGAGCAACTCGGTAACAATTCTATCACTTCCTCAATATCGTATTGACCAAAGGGTTTATAAAAATTTCGCTTGCTTCCTTTGCAATCCTGTGTTTGATCTGGCAGATATTCCAACAGAATTTTCGATATCTGAATGTCCTGTTAACAGTTCTGTAGGATGGTATGAAGAAAATGCTGTTCTCAAAGAATTGTGCACAAAAGAACAACAGAACGATATATGGTTCCCTTTTAAAAACTTGTATTGCTCAGAATGTAATCTCCCGCCTTGGCAACTAGTAAGTAACATTTTCTATAAAAAATAACGACTTTATTATTTATCAGTAAGACGTGCGAATTAGGAAAGCATAACTCAATTGATCACATAAACCGCGGGGCAGGAGTGTAATAAAGCCATTTAATAAAAACGATATTACACTAGTGTAATAACACTTTGACGTGACGTCATTTGCGCTATATATAAACATAGCGTTAAAACGCGCTAATGTTAGCGTTTCACTATAAGCACGTCAATGAAAAATGGAAAAATGACTCTTTTTAACAGTTTACTGTTTCTTATTTTATATATGTGATAAAAGGAATATCATATTCGTGTAGAATCAATACTAAATTTATTGAACTCGTTGGATAAAACAATATTATGCTCGCCAGAGGCTCGCATAATATGATTTTATTCAACTCGTTCAATAAATTTAGTATTAATCTACACTCATTCAATATCCTCTATATAATTATTCTGAAAACAGATGATCACAAATTTAAAATGTTTGTCCAGGTTATTTTTTAGAAAAAAGGAAAAGATTGCAATGTAAACCATTGACATTAAAACGAAGTTTTATTTCCGGAAGAGTTAACATTTTTTTATTATATGTACATTTGTGTTTAACATTTGATTACATGTATTTATATTTATAATATTTTTATACTTTTCTTTTGCATGTTATAGATAAAGAAACTATGTAAATAACATTTTGCAATTGTTATACATTAGAAAAGACAAGTTCGTTTAAATCATTAAATCACCTATATCATTAAATTACATTGAGTTATTCAATGAATCTTGAATCAATATTACAGGTTGAGGTCAAAGTTTCAATTTATGACGTGCTTAGCCCTCCGTTTTATAAATACCTTTTCTCGCTGTCTCCAGAAGATTTCAATAAGATAGACAAAGCTGAGTCGGATGATGGTTTGGTGGAATGTCTCAATGGAACATATGATTATAATTTGGTAACAAATTTATAGATTTTACACTTAAAAGTGACATAATGCACATTTTCGCTCTCAAGTTGAATTGAATTAGTAATATATTTCAAAATTTCAATATTAAAATGGTGAGAGACCAATAACTGATAATGAAACATAAAAATAATATTGATATAATACATGTCAACCATTGTGCAAAAGAAAAAAATATAATGTATATCAAAATGATTGTAATATTTTATGGATATTTTGACAGACTTAATCAAAATGATTTTCTCTTTTTATTTTTACAATAAGTCTCCACCTCTTCAATTCGTTATTCTATAATTTTATCCTCACAAAAAAAACGTTTAGTTATAAGTACCGCTATGTATATATTTTATTTCAGAAAGAGTGTCGATCATTGCATTGCCAAATTGGTTCTCGGCTAAACAACTCAACATGTACACCATTATTTGAAACTGCTATGAACCACCGATATTTAATAAACCTGGATCTATACATAGAACGTTTGGATTTCACAAAGACAGACAAAGAAAAAGGCATTATCATTGATTATTACAGTTTTGAAAGTTTATGTTCAAATATAAGTCAAACTATGACAAGCCCGTTTGACAAAAAGACCGCGTTTTACATACAAGACCAACTATGCACAGCAACATCTCCTTGTATCTTCAATCCAAAGACAGCTGATGTTCCATGTGTAGATGTATCAGTGACTAACTTTATTAGGTTGTTTCTAACTATATATATAGAATATACTGAATCGATAAGTTATATACGGAGAGTGTTAATGAGTGCGATTGGTCAGAAGTATTACGTAGCAGACCTCTCTGATATCGATGGGACTTTGTTTTCTGTTGAATTTGTACCGGTGAAATCTTTTGATTTGCAATTACTAGACCCAGGTACCTCTTGTCAGACTGGATCTTCTTTCAATAAGAATATAAATGGTGTTTTTCCTATGACTTATGTAGTTGACAAGTTTTTGCAGTGTCCCTTTGTCAAAATCAATATAAGTGAGACCATCGTTTTTAATGAAACTCTCATTGTTACCATAAATGATAAAAATATATCGTTTTCACAAAATGAATATAAATTTCAAAATGAACATGTCATAATATGTATCGACGACTTTAATGCAAAGACCGAAAATTTCAATTATGAAAATATTTTGAAGTTGGATGTTGCATCACATTCAAATGGACTGAACATTTTTACACAAATTTGTACAATCATTTCTCTTGTCTGTTTGTTCATCACGTTCATCACATACTGTTTGTTTTCATCTTTAAGAACAATACCGGGGAGTACTTTGATGCTATTGTGTTTTTATTTATTTATAGCGCAATCGTTCTTACAATTTGGCTTAAATGGAAAAAGCATGTCAACCTTTTGTATAACCACTGGAGTTGTCATACACTATTTTTGGATTGCTTCGTTTTGTGCCATGAACATTTCTTCATTTCATATGTTTAGGGTGTTCTACTTCAGCGATCTGTCAAATCAAATGCCACAAAACAAAAGAATACTGTTTATAAAGTACTTGTTGTATTGTATTTTCTTTCCAATGATTTTTGTTCTTGTTGCAGTATTACTCAACTTATTTCATTCAGATTATAGTTCCCTAGGATACGGTGTCAACTACTGTTTTATTTCTGATTTCTATATATTCGTCGGAACATTTCTTACCCCAGCTTGTGTTATTTGCTTGAGCAATTTCATATTTTTCTCTTTGGCATTTCACAAGATAAGGTCCACACCAGATGTCCAGAGTAATCAAGAAAAAAACAATTTCTTCATTTTTCTTAAACTAAGCATAATCGTAGGTGTAACTTGGCCTTTGTTGATCTTAGATAACGTTATCGGCGTCCTCTGGTTCTCATTTGTTGCGTCTGGTATCAATTCTCTCCAAGGTGTGTTTGTATTCATTTCATTCATTTTGAATAAAAGAGTATTCTCTCTTTACAAATCTATGATAATGAAAACAGCAGACAAAAAGTCGGTTTCAAAAAGTGAATTAAGCACAACCTACAGTATAATAAACAGATCCAGAGTTTAGGATTCTGAAAATGGTTTGGTATCTGATAAATCTTATTTTGAATATGAATTTATGTTGTAATGCATCGTCCATATACCTTGACAATTTTGCTTTGAAGACGTTATCATAAATGTATGTCTATATATATAATATGTAAGGAAACGCAATCATTTAAAACGATAACTAGCATTTTCACAAACCTAATTTAGAATTTTACAGGTAGTGTTCATGTTTGGACGGATACGAAAGTCTTGACTGTGTCTTTTATTCACATCAAAAATTAATTAGTATTATCATGATCAATATTTTAATATATTTAAATTATTCTCTGTAATTGTCAGCTTTATTTCTTGATAATTTTGATAAATTTCTTTTAAATAGTATACCAATATGGATTTTTATACGGCGAATATGATGGCATTTCAAAGAATTATATTGAAAGAAGCCATATTGTTTTAAATAAAAAAGCTTTTTCATGGCTAATCAAATTTTCTTCAGCTTGTTCTTTTTTATATAAATGTTAACATTTTATGACAGAATTGGAATTCTAAACTCGTTACATTCCTAATTAAACTTATATTCTCGCATCCTTGATTTTGTAGAAAAAAAACTATATTTAAGAAAAAGGTAAATTTACTTTTTCTAAATTTATTTAAGGGAAATAAACAGTGAATATACTCCGATATGGACCTGTTTTTTGTTTTTGTTCTTGTTCTTCAAAAAGTTGCTTCTTAACCAATGACAGAGAGGCATATCAAAGCTATTTATAGATTGTAAATGTATAATAAAACTATTTGTGTCGTGACTATATTGTACTTTTATTTTATATTATACTAAAAGTAAAAAAGCAATTTGCACCCCAACATTTTCTTAACGTACATTATTAAATATTTACGTCTCATCTATTTTTACTAGAATATAAGAATATGAAAAATGTAAAAAGCAATTTTTGTGGGTGTTCTTTAGCCACAATTATTATTATTCTTTGTATAGAAGGTATTTATATTTGTTTGAAATCTTATCCAAATGTGTTTCGAACATTCATTTAGACCATGTATTTATGATTATAACTGTTCGCCATATTAATCCATGATTTCCCTGTAATTACTGGCTCATGGCTTAATGAATTAAATCAATTAACACTATATATTGCTTTATTATCATTATACATGCATTTTTTCCTAATTATATCAACGTTATCAACGTCAATCATATGTATATTCACTAAAGCTCATATATTCAGCGCAGTATTTACTTTTGTTGTGGAATCATTATTCGAGCCGATAGACAGTAAAAACTTGGCAAAATTTCATTGTTTATTTTATTTCAGTTATTAAACGATAAATATCTCGAACGAACATTTGTCTTGTTATGGAGCTCCTGTTTTCCAAGACGGTAAGTGATATAATTTGTACCGTGGGGATATTGCATTAACTTCAAACAATATTATCTACAAAGCAATAACACGCATTATTTGAATGAAAACATCACAGGATAGTAATCATGCATGCATTATTTTATAGGTTTTGACCAACATAACACATAAAATATCTTATGATTTCTTATGAAAGGCAACAAGATTACCCCATATTGCGTCGTATTTGAGATATTACTTTTTTGGTAAAATACAATTCAAAACCATTATGTTATCATGTCCTAATCTCTCGTTTAATAAAATGCAATACGGCACATAATGCCTACGCAAAATTATCGGTAATCCGATCAGTATAACAAGACTAGTTTTTTCCTCAGCATTTTATTCATTTTGTAATTATTCATTAATTGCATTTGTGCATTGATCGTTTGATGCCATGGGAGTGTTATCATACTAAACTTGATTAAACTTTCAGTAATTGATTATGCTGGTATATAATCAAAGTGGGAAAAAATGGGATTTTAGTGTTATCACCTTTGATGTTAAAGAAGCCGCCTGAACAGAAACTATTACATTTTACACTGGTGTATAACGGCAAAGTATAAAGAGTATTGTTTATTAGTGTCAATCCCTACTGAAAGGGCCCGCCATTTCTGACTTTTGAGATACCTTTTGCTTGCATAACATTGTACCTCCCAACTCCTACTATTAGGCCAGGCGTCAGGCGAATAGAAATCGGTAACCATTTATTTTCACAACCTTGCGGCTCACGAAGCTCCCACGAGAAACATTCATCCTACAATTAACGCTCCCCCTGGGGGTCGAACCTTCGAACTCCCGATCCAAAGACGAACGCCTTTACCACCAGGTCAACGGAACCAATTGACTATATTTAACTATATCTTTAATTGAGGATTGCTGAAAATCTTCAAAATAATTAATGGAACTCCACTGAGATCCAAAAGCCTTTAAAAAGATAAAATGTATTTTCTTACATAGATCGCCTGAGGCAATTAAAACACTAAGATGATAAGAAATAAGTGAAATAGATAATGGAGAAATATTCTCATAAGTAAATACAAAATCTTTTTTTTTTGTATTTTTTGTCCGATTTGAGTAAAGACAGCAAGTCATTGTTTTAGACCTACTCCAAATGGAATATTAATCTCGTAAAAATATTTTTAGTCGAATCATGACAAAATCACAGGGTGGAGTCCATTTAACCCTAATCTCTGTCAGTTAATCAGTATGATTTCTTCCTCTGTAAATTGCATGAGTCTGATGAGGTATAATTAATTCCTGCCATCAAAGTTTTACTCTAACCTACTGTCAGCCGGAATGCAATCTATGGATTAGTCCGTCAACGCCTATGGACAAACTGATCAGTCTCTTTAATATAGTAGGCCTCAGTGAAACTGATTTTTCTTAATCATTTTTTTTTTAATTATTTATTAATTTTTTAATCTGCTCACTGCTACTGCTATTTTCCTACTGGTATCAATAAATCTGTATTGGTTAAATACGTATTACAGCATGGCAATATTTTCATAGAGGTAATTATCTTATTATCCTGTCACGTCATTTATAGTGGGGCGTTTGTAGCCGAGTGGTTAAGGTCGTTGACTTCAAACCACTTGCCCCTTACCGCTGTGGGTTCGAATCCCGACAGGGACTTTTGATTATTTCATGTGAGGAAGCTATCCAGAAGGCTTACGGAACATCGGTGGTTCTACTTAGGTGCCCGCACGTGCCTGAAATAGTGCACAGAAGGACACCCGAGGTCTTCCTCCACCAGTAAAGCTGAAACGTTGCCATATGACCTATACTGTGTCTGTGTGACGTAAAACACAAACAAACAAACAAACGTCATTTATAATTTATTCATTGTGGTTGAAGTGATATAATCACTATGATACTGCACTCAGTTGTCGAAGATTTTAACTGATATAAACAATTACATAAGTCATCGTGGAATGATAGAAATACTAAACCTCAAAGAACGCCCAAAACGACAACATTTTAAATGTTGCAGGCTCGGTTTGATTTAGCAGAAATCGTGAATAAAAGCTACAGTACTTTTGTAACGGCTGAAATAGTAATCATTATTGAAACACGAATTTTGATAATTGTATTCCTAGTACAATCTATGTAAACTGTTTCTGTTTGTCACCCTAATAATCATTTTTAAGAATACGTGTTGACACAAAAATGCAACACATTTCTTGGCCTTTCATTATAAAAGCAAGAATAAAGTTTGTTTCTAAACGTTTACTTGTTTTACCCTTCTGTGTCAGATAAATGTAGTTTTAAATACATTACAAGAAAAGCATTGATGCAAAGCATCAAAGGGCGTCCAAGCAAGAAATGCATCAGGTGCAGATGAACTAGTAGATATATGTTGATAAACTGTTCAATGGTTCATTGGTTTTTACCAGAATTGTATATCACTTATGAACGAAGTAACGAAAGACATTGTTCATTATTTATAAATTTGATTGGCATGCTAGAAATTAGAATATTACTTGTTATTTCTTTATGATCGTGATTATTAATAGCAACGGATATACATGTATACAATCATTTATAATCCATTTGAGTAACGCATGATTAACACGACACTTGTGTAATTGTCCCTTATTATGTTATCGCTATTAGCGAAGACCCCCTCTTAAGGTATCTGTTCACACTTAGTAACAATAAGACACTTGTTATATTACCATGTTGATCATGTTGAGCATAAATGTTTATTATACACTAATTGTAATATCTTTTTTAATAAAAAAAATACAGATTTTATTAATATTGTTTGCTTTTCTTTTTTGTGTTGTATGCACTATTTTAATACTGAATTTTTACGTTTACTATTATTTCAAGAATTCAATTGTCATAATGACCGACGATTATAAGTCAAAACTTAACTGCAAAAAGTCAGTAAATTATGGTTAATCTTTCAATATATAATATTGTTTATTCTTAAACCATATACATGTACATTTGTATTTTTCTTTATCATTTCTTAAATTATCAATCAATTGAATAATTCATAAAATCTGATTTTCAAAGTTGATAGTGTCATATTAATGCCATAAAAATGTACATTTTTTCTCAATTATTGTACATATTTATTGTTTTTATCTCATATAGATAAAATAAAACATGCGATGTGTGTTGTTGGGTTTTTTTTTCGAATTGTATGTTTATCTTTAATAATAATCAATAATTTTGAGAGTTGATCTGTGTTTCTTAATTATTGTAACCAAACTAAGTGACAAACATTCATTTTGAAAAAAAAGCTTATTTATCTCACGGATTTATATTAATAAATCCGTGTTTATCTGTAAAAATATTTGTTCTATTCTGTTACGATATCAAACATCTACTCCAAAACCGTTAGAGACCGGACAATAAACGAGTGGTACTATTTGCCGGTCGTCAAAATAGACCAGGAGAGACCGGGATTTACCGACAAGAGTACATCCATCTATAAATAGATTTTCGGAATATACTAGGTCATCAACTCATCATTCTATTTACAGCTTTCGGAATAACATACCATAATAATCCACTGTGTACTACAAAATGATAAATAGAAATACCCTGAAGAGCGCGATTTATTGACGGAAAAGGTTATTTAGATTCTAATTTGAAAATGTTTGCATTGCGAAATTCTCCAGTTCGCTATTCATTGCACAAATCACGATTAATTAATAGGAAGTGGCTAGCCGTACGGGCCCGTACGGCTAGCCAAAAGTTCTAGCCGTACGTGAGTCACGTACGGCTAGCCAGGACACACTGTATTGGCTAGTCGTACGGCACTTTTTAAAATTATATTGAAGTCGAAAATGCATATGTTATTTTATGACTTTAAAGCGAGGATTTTAACCAAGAAACAGCAATTGTCTTCGTATGTTTACTTTTTAGAGATTAATCCGTCGCCATGTTGGCTACAGTACAGTAAAGAATTAAGTATGAATATCAATCTTTGTCATCTCCAGATGGCGAGAAAAAAAGGCGTTTAAAAATTGGTTGCAGTTGAAAAACATCAACTGAAATAGTTTACATTGTGATAATAATCCTTTATTTGTTTCGATACGTTTAATTTTCAACACCTTTAAAAAATTTTAAAAAAAACACCGAAAATAATTGTTGTCGGGCTCTGATAATTGCGTCAATTACCGACTATCATTAGGGAAAGTTTGCGTGTTCCGTGAAACGCATTCTAAAATTATATTGTCAGTCCCTGGATAGACTTTAATTAAGGCTAATTGATTGTGCTTTTATACTTCTACTGTATTTAAAAAAAAAGTTTTGCTTTTTAACGTTGTTTTTTCTTTCTTTCATTGTTCTCTTCATTTATTTATTCCACTCCGATCATGCCTTTATGAAAAAGCTTCATCTGCCGTTATTATTATTATTTATTCGATTCATGTGCATGATTAACAAATAAAAAAAAATGATTTAATAATTCATCTTTCATACAAATAAAACAACAAATCATGAAAAACAACGACGCTACATAACATGCAACTTTGACACTTTTATCAAGATTACAACTCTTGTAGATCTACATGTATATATTATACCTTCGTATTCATTTTTTACAAAATGGCGGAGCATCTT